GATTAAGAGATGAAAATAAATATTTTTCTTCTCCAGAAGAAAATTTTACCCCCTCTTGGAAAACCCGATTAAAAAAAAAAATTATACTGACAGAGCTATAAGTGTAAGGATAATACTGTAGGATACTCTATAAATAAGTATAAAATTGGTAATTTACCTTTCTTTACATTGAAAAAAAAATTATTGAAATACTAAATTATAATTATGATTAATCAAATTTAATAACTATTAAAACTAAACTATTTCGAATATATTTCAAATAAATATTTGATTTCAAAGACCAAATACATTAGAAAAACATTCAATATATTCTAATATATACAACCTACCAAGTAATAGTATAAAAGTATTCAAAATGTTTTATGAATATTATTTATTGTACTCGTATATTTTGCAAGTTTCAAGTAGATAAATGCTAGTATAATGTTACCCACCTTTGCAGTAGATTGGAAGGTGTATTTATATTTTTAACATTCGTAACCACCACCACCACCGCCACCACCTCCACCACCACCACCACCACCACCACCACCACCACCATAGCCACAGCCACAGCTGTTTTTCTTACCACCGCCGCCACCGCCACCACCGCCACCACCGCCACCACCACCACTACCACAGCCACATCCCTTGTTTCCACAGCCACAACTCTTGTTTCCATAACTATTATCGCCACAGTCATTACCATTATCACCACAACCATTGCCTTTATTGCCACAACCATTGCCACAATCATTACCACAATCATTACCACAATCATTACTATAGCTTTTACCACAGCTTTTGCCATGACCTTTACCATGGCCTTTACCACAGCCACAACCACCACCTCCACCACCACCTCCACCACCACCTCCACCACAACTATTTTTTCCGCAATTGCTGTCACAGCTGTCTTCACAACTACTACTGTCACTGTCACATGGTGCTGATCTCACTGATTCAATGTACACCGTCATAATCTGAAAAAAAATATTATGTCAGTATCAAGAAAAAAATTAAATGTCATCATAAATTATAATATATTATAACATATACAACTAATATTCGAATGGGATCTGCAACAAATGCAAGTTCTAAGGCCATATTTAAGAAAAAAAAAGATCAACAAAAGATCTAATATAATATTCGTATAAAGGCCAATAGCATAAAAAAAAAGTCACTGAGCCCAATATATTTATATCTATACTAATTAAAGCCGTCCCTTATAATAATTCTCTTGAGACAGGGAAACACCATCATCTGTGTCTGATTTGGAAATATCTATTAATATTAATAGATGGACATTATAAACTTTTCTAAAAACTTTATCTAAAATATTGGTATGGGGGGAAAAAATGTATCAATATAACACCAATTTTAATCTCTGTAGTATTTAAAAATTTTGCTTCATAAATTAGATAGATATAAACTAAACGTGTTTAGAACATACTTGAGGGTGTGAGAATTAAATAAAGAAATATTTGTGTGACTGTATACTCGTAGGATATTAGAATCCAATGTTCTTTTGGAATATTGTTTCGCGGGTAGTTTCTACCAAATTTAAATGGTTATTCGATTTGATCTTGTAAGAATTTGCCATTACAATATTTTATTGGTACGATCAACCCATAATATACCTAGTTCAATGCTTAATAATAATATAATTTGATGGGAGATTAACATTTGTTTGAACTAAGAGTTTTGGTGTTTACACAAACCAAACATACAAAATCGTTCTTCTTATCGTAGTAGAATTCTGAATACCCGACTCGATTCATAGGCCTGACAACAGTGACAGCATAATATGCTGCCTCTGCGATTTTCAAAAGCACCCCAGTCGACTGTCGGGAAAAAAATTATAATATCCTTTAGTAAAACAACAAACAGTTAAATAAACGTTCATGTAGTTCAAAGATAATATTATATTGATCTACTCATTTAATGGGATTATCTTTCTATTTGTATTTTCTATTTTATTTTAAATAAACTGATATGTATTGATTCCAAAAGGTACGATACGTCATTATGGAATATAAATAATATGTATACAATTGATTCCCTAACCTAATCTAAAGCGAAGTATAAAATCAAAACTGATTTGCTTGTATGTTTCTCAGTCGACAGCTCGTATAAGTGTGCATAAAATGTAATAAAATACATTATAAATAAAACTAATTTAATTTTTACACGTAGATTCGGGTATGCGGGATATTGGATGTGTTTCAAGTGTTTAAATATAATATTTTTAATTCAATAGTTTCGTGTGTACATCGAAACGAATAAGGTTCTGGAAAATCGCACATGTTACATGCACGATAAAACAGGCACGATCTGTATCCGTCGTTTAAACGATTTATTCTGTTCCGTCCGGAGTATTTTATAATTATTTTTTTTTTTTTTGCTTTCGTAAACGTCCAAAAGTCACTATTTACAAATAATCATTTGCACCTTCGTCGTGCGTGTACGATCGAAATGCAACCGATGCCGACCACGGGTGGAGACCCATTAATGTTTTCGATTCCTCCGGGACCACGGCACCGGCAAGTCCCGGAAAGTCATTGGTCACCAACATCGCGTGACATATGCGAATTATTCATGAGCCGTTAATTATATTTTTTCCATTAAAAACGTGGTTTATAGAAAATACAAACAAAAACCCCCATTCGTTTCGTGTTTACACACCCCGCATGCGTTTCTACACAATATTATATGAACATTCTGAATTGTAAACACGACTAGAAGACGAAAAAACCATTATAATAGTCTGACCGGAAACTCATATCATTATCGTATTATGGTTATTATGTTGAAGGTCAGACGGTCGAAATTCATATTAGGTTGGCTTTTAAGGCTGGGTAATTGTTTTTTTTTTTTTTTATCGACACCTACTATTTTTATAGTAAAGTTAATTTTCATATCGATTTCCTGAAATACCAATGTCGGCTTGGGAAATATCGACATCGGAGATTAATATGTACCTATATAATTATACCCACAATCGTACAATTATAATTGTAGTTTATAATCACATAATTTAGCTAACTCAAAATTCACTTTAAATTTCTGCGATTCTAGCTTATATATTATTTATATGATTTTTATGCTATAGTATAATTACCCATACTAACAAATAAAAACTTCATTCAGAAATTTTACATTGTTGTACCCGGGAGAAAAATCAGTAACGCGTTGAGTAGCTTTACTAAAAATACCTTACATTTTCCACTCAATTTTTAACTTTTAACTCGTTAATAAAATACAACCTCATTGCTATTTTGTATGCATAATAATATAATTTGTATAATGAACTTACCACAACCATAGTAATCAGCATACAATTCCGTGTCGTCCTCTTCATCTTGATCCCGTTCTTCGACCACGTACAATAATTGTAAGTATTATAATATCAGTAGAACGACAACGTATGCATCCGAGAGTAGAACATACCAGAGCTCGCTTGATGTTTTATACCCAATCGCAGCCGTATGCTGTATAACATATGGGTCATATTAAAGTGCAATGCTTATATTGACCAGTTGGCTGTCAAAATTATACGGTAGGTAAGTGTCGAAAATGTCACGTTAATTAGTATTACGAGAGATCGACTTTTATCGTCCAAGGACAAAATCGTAGGTAAATAAATTTGTAATTTATGTAATCCACCGATAAAATTTACACTCCGTGCAAAGGGAAAAGTGAAATCATATTTTCCTTTGACCTGACCAACGTGGTTTTACATTTTCATGAATCATTAAGAATCGTTATTTTCGATAATTCCTATACGAGTGAACTAATGAAATTGGCCAAATAATTTAAACCTGAGTCTTCCAGACTACAACCCAATAAAGAGTTTTAATCGGCCCTTCAAATGATGATCAATAGTTTAAAAACAATAACTGAACTTAAAATCCAGTTCCAAAAGCGTTTTTCTATCCTTAACGTTAAAGCTGAAAAATTAAATATCTTTCAAAATACATTTTTTTGTGATATTAAGAAGTTACCTCCTACCATTAAAATGAAAACGATCGATTTGAAATATAATGAAACACTTGCCATAAATTCCCGATAGAGACCTTAATTTATTTTAATATACATTTGCAGATCATAATAATATCCGAGTTAAAAAAAAAATTAAAATGAAACACACAGAGTGGTTTTTTTTTTATCATAAACCAGCAATTATAAACATTTGAAATTTCGGTATGCATAATCTTAATAACAGATTTACCGTTTATGAGTTTTAACTGTTTAAATTTAAACCAGAAAAGTAGGAAGGAGTTAAAATTTATCATTTATAAATAGATATACAATTTATTACCTTTCCCTACTCTTCCAGTCTAGACTTCAAACTGTTATAACTCATAAACTGTAATTGTAAATCTGATATCAATGTTATGCATATCAATATTTCTAAAAGAATATTCTTTATCGAACATGTAATCAAACAGAGAGGTTCCTATTTGAAAAACATAAGTACATAGGTACTTTTGTTGAATAAGTGCATAGGTACTTATTTAAGATATATGGAGTAGTATAACTGATTCCACAATGATTAAAAAAAAAAAAATTCACTTAAAATCCTTTGTAAAAATTAAATAAAAATTGTTCATAATTAAATAAAAAAATCACTCTGTTTATTCAGTATCTGATTATTATATATCTGTATAATATAAAATAACCAATTAGTACGAACAAACTTTTTCTTAAATAAAATATGTCGAATTAAATGTAGCTCAACCACACTAGATCAACATTTGAAACACACTTTGAATAACGGAATCAGTAACATATAATATAACCAATTTGATAAACCAGTAAGCCGAAAATTTTCAATTTCATAATTCTCATTTACAAAAAAAAAAAAAATCAACAATAATTTATAAATAATTACCTATTAATATAATTAAGTACTACGTTATATCAACAAAATATATTTTTTAATTATCCTTACATATTCATATGTTCTATGTAATTAAGTTCGAATAAATTCTATGATTCGTTTTTCCACATCTGATGTACTAACTCCATATCGATATGATAGGATTTTATACAGCCATTACCATTGATATTCATTCAATTTAACATAGTATATACCTAAGTTACAGCGGCATAATATTATAATATAATAAATAAATATCTTTTACAAAACAGATAAAGTTATAGACATCCCGGTAAATAAAGGGAATAAAGTCAAATAAGTCCAAAAATACGCCCCAAAAAGATGAAAATTGAACACTTTTTGGTAACTTACTGTTTTTCCAATTAGCATACTACAATTTTCGTACTTTTTAGGTTTTGAGTGGGACGAGGAATGTATTAGTTTTACAATGATGTTTTATGTTTTTATCTGTAAACAACTTTTCTACCGATAATTTTGCTCCGATTTACAATGATAGAACTTTTTCAAAAAGTAAATCTGACTAGAGAGGTACTTTAAGACGGTCATTTTTTTTATTTTCCCAAGAGTTTACTCAATAAATGAGAAAAACCGAGAAAAACACAGGAAACTAGGTAAACTATTAAAAAAATATTATTAAAGACAATGTTAAATGCATATGTAATTATTTTACTATAATATGACATATATTTTTGACAAAGTTACACCATCAACCAAACTCCGCTCTAAATCATTTTTTCGTTAGAAATGTTTAATTATCGCCTACAATAGTAACTGGACTCGTCTCTATTATCCTAGGACAATTTTTCTATATTAACAATGTACTAAAGATTAGGCTAAGTTAGGCCTTTTTTTTTGATCCTATAGATAGTATAGAACCTACAATAAATGGAGAATATTGAACAACAAAGAGCTTCAATCTGTGTTTCGAAGACCATGTACATCAAAGAGAATTACAAAAAGAAGGTTAACGAGGGCCAAATATGCCTGGAGGAAAAATGGCATATTGATATAAGCAGTAATTTAAAAGGACCCGTTGGGAAAAATATCGCTGTGTAGACCTCGCTTTAGATGGGAGACTGCGTGAAGAGAAACGTTATATCAGTAGACCCTAGAGCCAACTTAAGGAAAGTAGCTGAGTATACAGAGAGATGGAAGAGAATGTGTTGTACGGGATGGTCTTAAAGGTCAACCCCTCCCCCCAAAAAAAAAAATTCACGCAACCCGTCGTCATAAATAAATTTTCAATCGGCAATTAATATTATTATAATATACACGAAAATCACTAATAACGTGCAAAATGGCCGGTCGTATACTTCCTATGCTTAAACAAACATGTCCTAATGACACGAATATCGATTTAGTATACATCATTATAATAATACATGCCATTTTCGATATGCTCATTTGTGAAAAAAAATAATAAAACACGCTGTACGAGACATATTACTACCGATATCTCGTTTGATTCAGCGCGGAACGCATAATAAACAAAACGAGTGTGCAACCGCAAACAAAATTCTAACGGAACACATACGGTTATTTATTTGCAACAAGCAACATATGTATAGTACATATACCTTAACGCGCTGTTGTTGTTTTAACTGGTATTCCTAGATTCGTAAACAGTAATCATCGCGCATCGTCACAATGTGTAAAATATATTGATTTAGTGTTAAAGTGCTAAATATAATTACCCGTATTTTAATGGGACAGTTATATTTTATAATAATAAAAAGTCTTCAGCTGCTGTTGATTGATGATTACGAGTCGTACGAAGAATTCGGGGTATTTATTTTCAATCATCAATATAGTTGTACATAACGGTAATACCAAAATTAATGATAGTAATAAAAGTAATCGACATTTTATCGTTTTTATCACAGGTTAGATTCTATCACAGGAACTCGAAATTCGATTGCGGGTGATACCGATGCGAGGTGGCTATGATGTTCATTTCTAAATCAGAAATCACCGATAATCTTGACTACGATTAAAAGCTGACCGACGTCGTTAAAGTGATGTGATGGATTTTGTATCACTTTTTTATGCCCGATAACATTTTTAATACTATAACAGTATAGTATTGCTGATGAAAACAAACGAAACATAGCTCTTTTTTTTTTTCAAACGTAATTCGTGCGCTTATTTTCGTACAAACAATATTCCACTTGAGAGCGAAACTTTTTGTCATAATCGTCGAAAGTGCACGCGTGTCTTATAATCGGGTTATGTTTTATTGAAAAAATGACAAGTCTTATGTCAATCTCGCGATAAAATATATCGGCACAAGTATAATATTTTTGAACGCCAATGCACCTGTTGGGTTGCGAGTAGGGTGAAATATGAGCGTAGGTAGTATGTTTGTTTTATTTTTATTCTCAATGTTGACTTCGATAATAGAAAAGACTGGAAAATTAGTTTATACATATTTTAACACGCAGATCGTCTCGTATTATTTGAATGTAATCAAATTGCTGCAGATGTGTTTCCTTCCTGAGACATAAAAAATAAAAAAACACCATCACGTACCTACGGGATTATAGCGGGATTGTAGAATTCCGCTTGAGGTTTCTTCCCTCGAGTTCCATTCCTCATTTCGTCCGAAACGTTCGAGCAAAAAATACACACTGTTCGTGATAAACGAAACAATAATTTTCAATATTCGAGTGAGACATGGTTAAACGTTTATTTTGTTTGTGTTTTGTTTAATTGAAAATTGAGTTTTATTTAAAAATTTAAAATTCAAACATTCATGCAAAAAAAAACTTGTCTAAGGATTTTCAATATTTTTATCTAACTTATGAAAATATTTTCGATAGTTCTCACAAAACTAAATAAAATGTATACATCGACAAAAAAACTCGCGCTTTCAAAAAGCTATAAATAATTCCAAAAAACAGCGGAATATTTTAAAAATTGTACCACGTCTCAAAAGTACTAATTTACAGATATTTGGTGATAATTTCAGACATTTGCTGAATTATAACAACAAAAAAGTTTTGATAGGTGTGCCACTGTTGTTTATAGGAAGTTGGAAAGATAGGACACATAAATATGATCAATTTATATCTGCACATAATAAAAAACTATTTTGGGTGAAGTTTAGTTATAAATGTAAAGAACGCCTTAATTTTTCTGATTTTCGTCAAAATTTGATCTAATAATTCGCATATTAAAAAGAACATTACGCTCCATTTTATTTTCAGACCACTAAAATAAAAATATCACCAACCCAGTATCACATTGTCAAAAATTTCTGTTTGGTCAAACAATTATATCTACATTCTAACCAAAAACTAAAAAAAAAAAAAAAACACAAAAATGTCAAATGCCTATATTTAGCTCAAAAATCACCAGAAATGTTAATTTCATCACGTCTAGAAAAAACCAATATAAGTATTCTATTTCCTAATTTTGTCCTAATTATAAGAATTTATAGAATATAATTCATTTTTCTACGTGTATTTATAACTGAATTACGGCAAAAAACTCCCAAAAATTAAAATTCCTTAAACGCTCAAAAGTAGCTCAACAATTTTGGCGATGGTATCGTAAGAAAGCAAATTAAAAAAACAACACAATAAGTATTTTGTGATATTCTGATTAAATCATTTTTTTCTGGTCAAAAACGTCGTCCATATTTTTATAAAATAATGAAATCGTGAAATTGTACGTTTTCCTACGTTTTTTTTCCACTTAAGTGATTTTGTTTAAAAAATGGTAATGAAAATAAAAAAATTCCTTCATTAAAATACAATCGAGAAGAAAAAACAAAGAAAAAAAAGAAGAAATAAACAGCATTGTAAAACCAATAGCTTCCTCGCTACGCTCGGAATCTAAAACTAAATATTGGTATTGACAGAATTATAATATATTTTTTCATGCGTCCCTTTAAGGAAATTAAAAAAAATCGATGTGTATATATTTGAATCAGAAGCTCTGAGGGATGAATGGATAAATAGAAATCGCGTTGAAAAAAAGAAAGGCTATTATAGTCGTATTGGTTGATTCATTTTTTAAACGAGTAATATCGTTATTTTGTTCTAGATATTATAATAGTTCATGTACGCATTTGATCAGAAACATCGACACGACGGGAACACGAAATATCTCACAATCAAAAAATTAAATTTTCCACAACAATAACCAGTTTATCTTATGAACACTTCGAGGAAAACTGTATACTTATAATAATATTACATGTTATATTACTCATGTAAAAATGTAAAATGTATTTTCAAATTAAAATATACTTCTCAATCAACAGTTTAAATAATTGTTTTTTTTTTTTTTTTTTTTGATATTCAAGTATAATTTAGACAACTTGATCTTTCAGAAACGTTGTTAGACGTAAATATCGGAGCAAGTTTACTAGGAAATAACGTGCCCGCAATTTAGAACATAGAACAAAAAAAAAAAAAATATATATGCAGCATTGTAGAATCAATACCTCCCTCGCTACGCCCAAAATCTAAAAAAGAAAAAGACCATATCTGTTAATCGTTTCGGTCAGAATCTGAAAAAAAAACCATTTTATCTCAAATATGAACATTTCCAAATGTTCGGCTCATCTTTATCTGGAAAATATATTAATTTGAAAAAAACATACACAGGATAATTTACTCACCATGGCTGCGCCCATTTTTTTGGTTAAATTTTCCATATTTAAAAATTCGGATTTTCGGAATTTTTAAGTGTATTTAAAGTCGATATTTTTGAATACTAAGATTTTTCAGAACATATTTTAATGAGTATCTTGTAGCAATACCAACTTAAGTTTTTCAAATGAGAACCTATACTGAAAATTCTAATTATAGTCGGAGTATTCTTTTGAATAAATTTTGGTGTCAAAATTGTTAATTTCCGTTAACCCGTTAACGAGATATTCCACAATTAAATTTAGATAATGAAAGAGTAGTGAAGTATCATTTGTGTGGTGGCACGGCGCGTGACATTTTATTAGTACTCTACTTCTCTCCCCTTACCTAAACTTAGAAGTGGAATGTCTCCTTAACAGGTTGACGAAAATTAAAAATGTTGACCCCAAAATGTTTAACATAGGTTCTCTTTTGAAAAACCAAATTTGATATCGCCATAAGATACTCCTTAAATGTTGTGAAAAATCTAAGTAATCGAAAATATCTGCTTTAACTACACTTCAAAATTCCAAAAATCAAATTTTAAATATAATATGCAAAATATAACCAAACAAATTTGGTGAATCACCATGAATTTATTGTATTCTACATGTAAATAGAAAGCCATTCAATTTTTAATCGTAAAATATTATAATCAATACAAAAGTTTGACACATAATGTTAATATTTATTCGGTAAATACGAGATGAAATAAAAATAATAATATACTTGAGTCGAAAATACAGACTACCACCGTCGCGTCGTACTTACAAATACGAACATTTGCGTCCCTTGTTACCTCGATCGAAGTTTAAGTTAAGTTCACCGTGTTAGACGGTGTCTTCGTTATCGTCATGATCACGGTCATTTAAACTTCAAAGTTTTATTTTAAGATCCCTTTTGCGAGTAGGCGTCTACGACAAACGAGCTTGAAACCACAATCTCCACCTACAATCCATAACCCACGTCTACAGGGTAATCAACAATCATCATAACGTTAAATCTTTATTATCTCGGAAAGTATTAACATTTTCGTTTTTTTAGAAAATTTAAAAAACAAACAGCTATACAATTTTACATTTTATATTATTTTTTTTCGCCATTATTTTTGGGAGTGAATCCACTACCCAGTTTTAATTTTAATATTACAACCTATTCAAAAAATTCCATAAATAGACAAAGTGATTTTTTAAATAAGTTTTGGTATTGAAATGTTTAATTTCGGTCACCTCGTTAACGAGATATTCCACTTATAAGTTTGTCGGTTTTTTTTGTAAGGGGATAGAAATGGAACATTCTTCAAATGCGGAAAACTAAAAACAATGCTTATTTAATCTTCCCTACTTACAAAACGACGAACTTAAAAGTGAAATATCTCTTCACAACTTTTGAGTAGACGTAAATTACAAATTTCAACACCAATTATTTTAATTCAATTTTTATCTATTTACGGTATTTTAATATAAATTGAAATTTAAAAATCGAAAGTGGATAGTCGATTCACCCCATCATATTATGAATAAATAAATTTAAAAAAAAAATAAAATTTTAATGCCATTTTAGAGTTGCTTGTTTCATCAGGTATACATTGAATTTCCCCCTCTGCCTTTCAAACTTCTCACCTACAACAGTAACCTACCTATCGTGCGAAATATGTCCGTTTTTTTTTTTTTTCATAGTTTATGTCATTGAAAATTATCGAATGACGTAAAAGCCATCATGTTTATTATAAGTGTGTTGTATGCAGTGAGTTTAATATTTATAAAAATAAATACAAATGTAAATATTATTGCAGATTTTTTAGCAATATGTTTGTGCGCAATACATGTGGATTATATAAAACAGTATACGTGTTTTTATAAAATTGATGTCAGCTTAAAATTATAAGACGATTTAAATAGATTTTCGAAATGGTTTGGGCAGTTAGGTTTACCTATTAATTTCTCCAAATGTAAGTGTATAAATTTTAATGTGGTTCGTTCTCCAGAACATCTACCGTAGGAATAACCTCATAAAAGTTTTCTTAACTAATAAAGTAGATTCTTCCATCCGGACTCACTACTTTATTTTAATGTTTAACGGCGTACTGCTAGAGCCGTTACTCTCTTTTCTATTCCTCACTCCACCACTGTCTCTATTCTAATGTCTGTGTATGTTGTTTCTATGTTATTTTTCTCATACTTTTTTTTAGTTTTTTTTTTTTTTATAAATTATACTGTAAATCTCCCGATTGTAAATGTTATACATGTATTATTGTACTATTGTGAACAAGTGCTTCGCCAGTATATTTATTAGTTAAATAAATAAATAATTAAATATAATTGAGCAGTAAAATAGAAAATGTCTTTATAAAAAAAAAAAAATGCACAAAGCAGTCGAAATGTATTATTTAAATAATATATTACACAGAAAATCATTTATCGAATTAAAAATCAAACGTTTATTTGAGTAAATAGATAAATTTGAGTTTATTTTTAGCTAACGAAAAAAGGCTATGGGTGAAAAAAGAAAAACGAATACAAAAATTATGTATAATGGACTAAATAAATCTAATTTTTATGTTTTAATATTAAAATAAATAAATTGAAAATTATTGCCGGGAAGTTGACCCACCCACTTTATCGGAAATCGACGAAACTAGTGTCAATATTTAGCAAGAATTTGCAAGTTTGATTTTGACATTTACAAGTCAATGTTTTCGCGTTAGTTATAAAAAATAAAAAGGTTGGCCAACTTCACGTAGACCACCCACTCATACCGTCATGGAGGAACAATCACACATCGAACTATTAATTTTCTACATTTCTATATAAAAATGAAAAATTAAATTCTTAAACTACTCGTATCCGTATACAAAACTTAATTTCACTAAATTTCCGTGAGAAAAATAATATCCCATTAAATTAATGCTTAATGTCTTAAAATATTTGATTTTTTAATGATAAAATGATTTTAATGATATTATTGCATGATAGTTTATCAAAATACTTCTGCTATCTAAAAATCTAGAATCTTCATCACTAAATCGGGGTATAATATATTGTTTACTATAATTATCGGTCCGTCAACAAACCGATCAGTGACGGTGTTTCCTAGACCGATTTTATTAATGTCATAAATATAAAATAATAACATGCTTCAATTAGGTATATATAATAATTAAATTGCATAATATGAAGAAGTATGATTAAACTATTAAAACAATATATGTTTGCAATAGTGAAACACGATTTTTAACATTGGATATAATAATATTACTATACAAAACACTGTTTTCACATGCCTAGATTCATCCGAATTAATCGTGTAAACGTTTTTCACATAATATAACTTACTAATTTACATACGGATCATTTTTGAAACTACGACTTTGTCTTATGAAAATGGTAATTTCCGTAAACGGATCCTATTCGTATGAATTTAAAAATAGGGCCCCAGAAATTTTAAATATTTAAATAATTAGTATGTGTTACTATTTAAAATAAAGCAACGCAACAAAACTATAAACATGAATTCGAACCCGTTTTTCCAAAAAAAATTGTTTGCATTTTTTTCCCCTTTTACCTAAACAAGGAAAATACAAATTCATTTTGAATGTATCTAAGAACCCAAGCCATCGCTCGCTCAGACTATTTTAATCGCGAAATACCTCTCGATTTGTTGTGCAAACTTTTCTACCGAAAATCTTACCAACAATCTCCGATATATCAAGTGTTGCTTATTTTCTAAAAGGAAATTTCATCTCCATGATAACATGATGAGGTCATTTTTCCAAGTGTTTTCCTAGCAAATGAGAAAAACGCGGGAAAAAAGGAAAAATAGGGACAATATTAAACAAATATTATTAAAGAACATATATGATGCATATTATTTTACCATAATATGACATATATGTTATTGACAAAGCACCACTATTAACTGAACTGCACTCAGAATCGTTTTTTTTCGTTAGCAATGGTTTATCAATGCTTACAGATATACATCAAACTACCTATAACAGTGGCTGCACCCGACCGCATTACGACGTCCTGACCCCCCGACGTCCATTTTATTCTGAAATCAGTAAAATCGCTCGGGCGCGGAATTATTTTCAGTTGATAATAATAACAAAAATAATACACTGACTTGCCCCCGGTGAGTATACAAATGGAACTATAGGTATATACTTGTGTAAATATTCTTTTCTTTTTCTTTTTTTTTTTATTAATACTTATAGTAAAAATATTTCTTCTGTAAAATAAAAATAACAATGCCATTTTACTATATAGACTTTGCTTTCAATTCGTGTTCAATATACGGTAAACCGAAATTTGCATGCTTAAAAATAAAAATAGAAATGCCAAAATACCTACCCGGAATAAATCATATTTCCCTCTTTGACGTATTTTCTTATATTTTTTTTTTTTCTTAGAAACTTAAAAGTTTAAACGATTGTATTTTGTTTTGTTATTATTATTACTTATTTATTGTTATTTGTATTATGTATATGACGTGTTAGTATAAAACTGAATAGGCGTGCCAAACTAGCAATAATATGATCTATCTTCTTATCTCTGTATGTTGGCCAAACCTTTTGATATCCCATTTGCTTTCCAAAAATCAGCTATTTCAATCGCATTGTTTCGTATTCCATTCGCTTCTACAAAACCTTTCAATTTTTCGTTTGTCGGGTAGTATTATACAGTGGGCGTTCCGATTAAGTGATTTGATGTCACACCCACTGTTGAAATTTTCATTCAATCTCTGTTTAAGTAAATTAAACTTATTATGATGGTTCTTTCTACTTTTGTTCAAATTCTGTTTAGTACTAAATCCACCAAAACATATCTATTACGACGAAAAACATATCAGCAGTAAAAACTTTTTTTTTTTTAAATTCATTCAATAATACTTTCTGTGGCTTATGAATTTAACTATATTAAGTAATTACTTTATTAGATTCTTCCGTAAATCCGTCATTAGACGACATTTACCACATAAAATACTTGGGAATAAACTTCAAAGACAAAAAGAGTTCCTTATATGTCCGAAAAAAGACTTTAGAAACTTAGTCACTTTGTCGTTGTTAAGAGGTGACCAAAAACTAAATATACAGAACTAATACGTTAACCCAAAACTAATATTTTTCACATATTTAACAATTCTTTGCAAACAACACCAGTCGATTTTCTTCAACAATCATTTCTTGAACGTGTAAACATGCTAATACGTCAAGGTATCAGGGAAATATGCGGACTTCCAGCCGATACCCCCATCCCAGTATTCTACTATGGCCGCAAAGTTCGTGATTTGAGTATGTTGCGAACGTTTTGGGAAGCTTCTTTACAGCACCTGGCAATTGCAAAAAAGCTATCTAGAATAAATTACCAACATCTAAAGGCAGTCCTTGATCTCCCAGACGAAATAGCCAAATATCGTCTCCTTTTGGATAACGAAATAGGTAACATTGCACAGGCCATCCGCTCGGAATTGCGCGTGGGTAAATTCAGCAAATAAACACAACTATTTCAGAGGGGTATCGGCGTACTTTGGTACGATAAGCGCACTCTCACTGGGTATCAAACATAGGCGGTTTATCAAGCGGTGAATGGACCAACGTAATAAAAGCATCGATTAACTCAATGTCTAACCACGGAGCAGGAGGTCGCAGTGTGAATGGTAGCCGCCATTTCAGAAATGAAGTATGTAATGAGAATAATATTGTTGAATTTCTACTACACATTCGAGGCGCCTGTCCAAAGACTAAGTTACAGCGAAACGCTGCTCATCATCGCGTTCGATCAGCAATAGCCGATTTAATACGGAATAAAAACTTCGAAGCATACGAGGAAATTCACTGTCAAACAATGAACAACAGTGTCGACCAAAACCGTCGAACAGATATTATAGTGTTAGACGGGATAAAAAAACCATGGACTCATCTTAGACCTAACAATTCGTTGGGAAACAAATAACCCCCTGTAGGACACAACAGTGGACGAGGAAAAGACGGCGATCTACTGTGTCCTCGCGCTAATGAACCAATATAGGATTAACAACTGGAGTTTACGGTTCGGTGCCCGAGGAACCGCATCTTGTTTTCGGAGAAAATTCCAAGACCCAAGGATTTAAAATCTCTGATCTAATGAAAATATATTTGCTATTCCGAATGATTCACTCATAATTATGAACTATCACTTGTACTTGTGAGACTACCAATCTCTGGCACATATTATGCAATAAATTGTAATATGTTAAATTTATCTTTTTCTTTATTAATTTTTCTATTTTATATAAAATCTGTATTCTCTTTTTTTTTTTCTTTAATCTTCATTATTTCCACCTAGTAGATATTTTATCTTTTTATAATAATTATAACTATATCTGTATAATCATTTACTATAATTTTATAACTTTATAACAATCCTATGTATATCAATATTGAATATGTATACCGTGACTTTCGGCAACCCACAAGGTGGACAGTCCGCTTAATTAAGTTGTTATATATATATATTTAATTAAAATTACCATTATTATAACGCCAATAAAAGGAGAGAACATGCAAGGAAGTAAAATATAGGTGTATATTTTATTCAAACAGTAAAAATGGTAGTAAAATCTATTGTAAATGCGAAAAATTATCAATTTTTAGTACTAATAGATTAGAGCTGGAAGAAGTCTAATAATGTTTATAAAGTTTTGATTACACATTTTGTTATTTCGATAACGTTTTAGTAGTTGGAAATACCATGGACATTTAAAATATTTAAACGTATAGTAGAATATTTTAAAATTATTTTAAATAAATATGAAAATGTTTTTTTTTTATTAACACGAGTATTAAAATATAAATTAACGGGGTAGGTACTGTTAAATAGTACCTACGCTTCATTATTACGTATCGTTTGAATAAAATTCATGCATTTTTCGATATTTTTAATCCAAACGTGTGCACAATAATTCCGTGTACATCATGTGTATGCATTTCAAATATTCGAGATCGTAACTAGAATAATTATTATATTTAATCCAAACATAATACGATACACCCAATATAATGGTTAACCACAATAAATATTAAAATTATAAATACCTATAATAATTGATATTTTGTTTGATGTAAGATTTGCATTGATAAATATATTACCAATGCACCCAAGTATATTTTTAATATATGATTAGGAATAATCGAATAAATTAACGAAATATGTACGGTAATGAGAGGAAGTGATTAAAAACGTTCAGAAAAATTAAAAATAGAAAAGTAGTTTTCTTGAAAACTGGAAAACAAGATTCGAAAAACTCGAAAATGTGATTATGCGTGAGATAAAATCACTGCATCGTTATTGTTTTACTAATTTGTTTTGTTTGATTCAAATATACATTTTAATAGCAAGTTATCACGGTTATCATGTCTCCCGGAGTTGGTATAACAGACCTGGTCGAGTGTATTAATATTATAAGTAGATTTTTACTTATCTTTGTTGATGGTACCAGAATCCTCTCACCCGGACTAACGATGTCGTTTGGTTAGTCGAAAATCATAAACAGTTTTCTCTGACACAAAGCAGACCAATCGGAGCGCGTTATTCCTATATTTTAATTATGTTGATACAGTGTGTGAATACTCGAGACGACACACTAAAAGTCTATTTTACGTAGTCGGCATGCCATAAAAAACGATCCGTCATATTTAACCGGGCCGGTTTAAACTGTTACCGTAATATTTATCGCGAAACCGTACACCTATAATAAGATAATCTATCGCAGGTCCGACATACTGTGAAAGAAAATATGCACTCAATAAAAATAATAAATTGTACGCGTAAATATTACGAATTTTTTCACCAAAATCCATTATAACAATAATAATAATAATATCAAATATTTCACCTGTATAAATACGTGGGATCGTGAAACAAATTTATAAATTGCAAACCACGTGCGCAGCAAATCCTCACAACAGTTCTACCCTATAATTAATGCCGTGAAAAACTTTAAAAATATATACTTACTACTTTATAATTTCGTGGAGGCCTAATCAAATTCGACTCCAAACGGTTAAATGCATTTGCGGTGGTGGTTGCATAAAATAATTGTTCCGCTTTTTGTCGTTCGACTGGCGGCATTAATTATATACGATGATATTTTTCTTGCCGTGTTTTCCATTTGTGGCGAAACTTTCGTCGGGCAAACGTCGAAAATAACTACAATTCACGGTGTCTGCTTATTACAAGGACAAAAGACGTATGTCCATGTGTAATACATACATTATGGTAAGTGACTTTGGGTTTTGTGACGGAAAACGTTTACTATTAACTAACTACTAAATTAATTTATTTTCGATGTCGTCAAAGTGTCAATATATCAGATATCATACGTTTGTGTGTTACTTTAATAAAAACAAACGTTTTGGGAATATTTGAAAAAAAAAAAAACAACAATTTTTTACATAATCATGTTTCGTATACAAAAACGTATCTGTCTGGTCGCGTTTAACCCACAAATCGCAATTTAAGATCGTAACTTTCCATTTGACTCTGTTCGCCGAGACAATTTCTCGGCTTGCGAACATTTTACTTTCTTTTTTTTCCTGTTCAAAAAGTTGTACCTCGTCATCCCGTTAATCTTAATAATGGAGAAAAATCCGGATTTGCCGAAATTCGATAATCGGGACTTTCGGGATCTGAAATCCGAAAATATATTCAAATATTTTAGATTTTGAAACGTTAATTTTGGATTCTTTTAAGCATTTATCATAGATTTCAAAAACCAATCGTAATTATAAATTCCGAAATCCTAAATCCGTATTTTTCGGATTATCTGGATTTATGTCACGTAACTAGTGTTTAACTAGCGGTAGGTATACCAGCAGTGACAAAAATCAACATACACACAATGAAGTAATTAAAATCAGTAATTTATTTAACAAACCCAACAGTGTAATATTATTAATATTATTATGCAATCGACGACGGTTTTAATGATGATAATAATAATACGCATTACAATAATATGATCCAGTACTACACGATCAATACTAAAAAAATAATGTACTTACAACCAACAATAATATAATATTATGTGTTATATATGCTTTCTGGCGATACACAGATTCGAACTGTACAACAAAAGTATAATGATATTATAATAATAATACGGTAAAACGAAGGTTACGGTGAAGTTAACTATAATAGTAGTAATAATATGATGTATAGAGTAGTACAACGGTATAGGCATTTTGCCAACGTTTAAAAATTCTAATCGTAAATAGTTTGCGTTTCCGTAGTGTAGTTATGGTGTAGTTTGCGACTGGAAAAAATACTTCATTCTTTCTTGCAATGGTAACACGAACAGCTCAGCGCGGATTTAAACACCAGTTTCCTCACGCCCTCCAGACAACGAACGTTCACTTCCACCTGAAACGAAAACAATAATACTATTAATTGATCGCCATTGACGAAACAATCCCGTAATAAATATCATAGTATGACAGTGGCGTATTTAAAGAGAGGGGTAGAAAGATATATCTCCCCCTGATCTTTTTTTAATATCTATTATTTATATGACTATACCTAATTTTAAGATCAAATTTCTTATTGGTACAATGGTACAATATACAGTTGATATGCGTATTAAAAAATTCTATTTATTTTATTTATGTATTTATTTTCTTTTTCAAAACGAAACCGATATCCGCCCCACTATAATATGAAGAAGGTTAGATTTAATAGGATATTGAATAGTAAATACATAAATAATAAAAATTACCCACCTAAGGAATACTTAGTTACGAGTATTTGATTCAAATATTAATTTTAGATTGAATTTTAAATTACTTACAAAAATACATAAATTAATAATCATTGTTTTTAATTTATCATTTTTTTTTTTTTTTTTTTTTAGCCTGAGTACATGTTTTTAAATACCCGAATACAATAATTTCCCCCTTGTAAAAATCCTATATACGCCACTGTATTATAATCAATATAGTAGTAAAACCATAAATTAATTAATTGATATTTTAAAAAAAAGTACATTCAAATGGGATTCGGGGATTTTTTGTTGTGTGGTAAAATGAATTGTATGAACCCAAAAATAAATTCAATGAAATACTAAAAAACGCCTGTAATGTTGACAAAATTCAGTGCTATAACGAAACAATTTAACCCATACAAATGTCCATAAATATCTACTTCTTAATAAATCATATTGTTTATTATGTTGATCGGGACTCTAAACTGTGTCACCGTCATTACCCGAAACACAAACTTCAGTCGACAGATTCAAAATTAAATTTCACAGCTAGCTATAATTAGCTATTTCAAATTTGCTTAAACGTCTTTGTAGTAAGTAGCGACTTCCGTCGACAGTATAATTAATATAATAATAATAATAATATATATTATCAATATATATAATCAATCAATCAGTGGTTACTGACCAAAATATTTTTGCAAAATGTATTGCGCATTAAGACGATTGAAAACGATTAGTTTTTTTCATATATTAAGACTGTTAAACTATAGTAAAATAAACACACTTTCGGTAAGTAGTCTAATATTTGTTTTTAAAAATAATTTGACTTCGTTTACTTTTATATGTTGTGTATAAAAAGTATTTATTTATTTATTTTTTATTTTATTTTTTTATTTTTTTTTTGTTATTTTATTTTTGACACTTCAATACAAAAATATTTTGTGAAAAAATGGTAATTTTATGTACTTGAACTAAATTAACTTAATAAAAAACAAATAAATGTTTCCTACAAAACATAAACATGAAATCAAAAATTTTCAATATGTTTTCAAATTTAAAATTTGGTGAGCGATAAGAGATAAATTTGACTTCGACCTATTGATCTGAAATCTTGTAAAAAAGATTGTTCATTTTCCCGTTAAACAGATATCGGGCAGTTGAATAATAGAAAATTCGTATCGTAAAGGTGGTTACTAAAAAGATAAAAAACTTTTTAAATTTTTCAAAATTGGAAATCTGCGCCCAAATAAAAAGTAAAATAAAATTATAATCGAGTTGGTATATAAAAAAAAAACCCTCATTTGCACGTCAAGAAAAATGATTTTAAAGTGTCATAAATACACACAACCATTAAACCTCCAGGAATCTTCATTTTTTGAATTGTGTATGTATTTCATAATATGTGGGTATATGTATACTTTTTATATTCTAAACGTGAAGCCTGTATTTATCACATTGACGACCTTATGTGTTATGAATACTCGACAGGTAGTTCAGCTAACTGTATACATGCAACTGTCGAAACAAATTTGCATAATTAACGAACCAAAATCACACATGTTAGGTATTCGAATATTATAACCGTTAACTATTATTTGTTTTAGTACTGATTAACGAGAAACCGCTACCCTCAAAGATACAATCATTATACACACAGAACTTGTTATCACCTATTTTTACCTGTTCCCCCTAAAAATTAAGGATTCCGGATTAATTCCGGTTTTCAGTTTATTTTTCCGCGTATTCAAAATATTTATTTATTTCTATTTCTATTTTTTTTTTTTTAACTTTTTTAATATTTTAGGGATTTTTAACTGTGCAGTACGTAGTATTACGTAATGTTACGCTATATACTAATACGAGTATCAATTCATTATTTTTAAAACCCAAATTTAAAAACTATAAAAATGCCTCAAACAATTTTTGACTTAAATATCGAAAAAGAAGAAGATGAAACGTTTAAAGGCAATTATAAGATATAAGTAATTTGGTTTATACATCGAAAACAGCAATAAATCATTGAGTTAATGCATTTCAAAAACGATAAAGAGAATAGCTCGGTGAACGGATAAGACGATTGAAAATATTAGTCGTGTTTTCCCCCGTGTAGCCAAAGTAACTCAGAAATCGACGAAAAAAAACCGATGTATCGTCATTTGCAGTTAATTGATTAAAGTGTTTCCCGAGAAAAAACGGTGGGATGAACAGTTCAAAATGTCCAATACAAATATTTCATATCAAAAACCGCCGGGAGAAAATTCCGGATCTTACAAAGTACAGCCTGAAAAATATCTAAACATTTTCACTAACTGGAAAAGTTAGCAAAAAACATGACATGTTTTAGTAAAACTACGCTTCACTCGGAATTAAAATAACCGTTTTATTGTAGCTAAACGCATATCTATTGCTGTTATAATATTATCTACAAGTATGTCATTTGAGAGATACAGACGACACTTTGACAGCGTTATATTTTTTATCGTTGTCGTTGATAAAATGTGAAACACAAAAGGTAATCGAATCACCGCCCAATACTTACTGCTGTCTGGCTGACTGCAATGTGAAAATGAGACACTGACGACCACAGTTAATTGTTAAGTCGTAAATATTATTGCTATAACATGGCACTAAGATAACAGCGTGCTTCGAACCGGTGGATTAAATCATGGTGCAGCGAGTTATTTCACGAAACATGAAAAAATAAACTATGGCTGTAGTGTAGTATCTATGCAATTTGCAGTTTTGTAACAAAAAAACAAATTGACAATAAATAGATAAATGATATTTAAATTTAGTTTCTCAATTATTTTTTCAGAGAAATATTTCTCTACAATATAATTTGAATATTAAAATGTAAAGTGAGAACAACATGAATACGACTGAGCGAAGCGAGCAGAACATTTTTTTGAGTTCCGCGAAATGAACAGGATAATATATATATACATAAATGAAAGGCAAAATTGGCCTGATGTTTACGTTCCTATTAAAAAACTGAAATTACGGCCATGATAACCTATATTATTAGCTGGTAATCACGTATCCGCATTGAAATTTGATTTGTGCGGCAAAACTTGACCGAACACTGTTGTTTGTTCTTGTAAACAACCGTGCATAAATGAGATAAACGGAATAAAATAAAATACAAATGCAAGTGTAAACAAAAACATACATAGGTACAAGAGATACCGAACACCGTGGCCTAATGTCAAACGGCAAACAAAACAATAGCAACAACAACAACCGCGCATCGTATTATCATTATTAAAAATATGCCCCGCAACCCATGTTCGCGACATTGATTGAAATGACGGATGTTTTTTAATTTTTAAGTTTTTTTTCCATATTAATAAAAATAAAACATTACGTCGAACAATAATAGTATTATTCATGGAATATTTGCCGCTGTATTTTGAAAATCGCCGTTCTATACATAATTAATTGCGTAACGCTCGATTAGGCTCGACGTGTAAAAATTAATAATTCCGTTCTAATGGCCAGGTCATAATATCATAAACATATTATGAAAAAAACGATTAATATTTTCAGATTATGTACGCCCGACGAAGATTCCTGGCTGTAACCTATTAATAATACCTATTGTACATCGTATTGTACCACATTCGTTTGTTTAAAAAAAAAAAAATGTCAACGCAAAATATCAACAATATCATTATAAAAGTTTTTTTTTTGATGATTTTGAAAAATACACGGTTAATCGATTCGGTAAGATATATTTTTAAACGCCACACCACTGGGTTCGTGTCACATCAGAACCAAATGTTGTGCCATTTGTATAGATATTATACTGATCTACATCAATCACCAAAATTAAAGACCAGCATATTATTAGTGACCCTGTTTCAGTGGTTTTTCTATCCTTTAATTTTTTAAATGAGATACAAGCCCTTTTCAATCGTGATATTTTACATACACGAATTTCACTTAAAAATGTAAATACCTAAAAAAACACCGACGTGAGGGCACACAACTTATATTCTAATCTTTGAGTATGGTAATACATTAATTAACTCTAATGTTTAGAATAACCGAACAAAATTTTGTTGCAAATTTGTTGTCGTGAGTTTGTAAAATTTAAACAGTAGAGCAATACTCCCAAACTTTTTCGGCTCATGGCTCTAATTTTGAACAAAGGTTTTATCAAGACGTCTTTGCAATTTATTGCATTGCAGTCAAAACTTATACTAATCGGAGTAGAATTAGTCTCAGTGTTTATCCCGTTGTATAGCCAATAATGGTAACCAAGGTAAATAAAACTGATACGTGTTAACAATTTACTATTATCAGTTACATTTTTAATTTTAGAGAAAAATTATTGGGAATCTAGAAATTTTTTTTAATGAAGTACTAGCGTGTATTTCAAGGTACAGTGCGAATAATTCGGATAATTTTTACTAACCGAAAAAAATCCAAAAAAAAAAAGACGCCGACCTCCGCTGTCATTTGAGTTTAAATTTATTTTTAGACCAGTAAATATTCAAAATGATTACGTGGTGCCCTAGGACGCCACGGCGCAAACTTTGGGAAATGCTGCAGTCTGTACTGCAGGTCTAGTAGGGTCCGCTTTGCGGTCGGAGAGGATAGTCAATCTTTGAAAAATTTTTGACAAATTTGAATTTATCAACTCAGAAATATTCGAATTCGCAATCAAACGAATATTCAAATATAGTGCTGTGTTTTTATCGCATGTCTTTTTTTTTTTTATTTAAACTAAAATATTTATGGAAAAATCGTTTCACCTGGGACAGACACATTAAGAACAAGAACTTTATCTGTGCCATAGGACATTTTTTTTCTTTACATAAATACAATTAAAGTTATCTGATTGTTTAATATTTCAGTTTTAATTTTTTTATATATATAAATTTACTGATTACAAATTATCGAGCAGCGCTACCAAAATAAATGTGACGCTACGACACAAACTGTGAAAAACGGTTTTTACAGTGGAATTATGAGTGGTATCACGTCTTCTTAAGATTATCACTGTCTTTTAATCTTATTTTTTTATGGAGGTGGCAGATTTTAACTGTTTTTTTTTTTAAGATTTTAAATTATTATTAATTTTTTTTTTTTTAATGTAATGCGTGTATAAGATTGAGAAAGAGAGAGAGAGAGAGATAGAGAGTGAGAGAGTATATGTGTGGTGCGCGCATTAAATTCACAGCCCTTTAGTCAAATTATTTATATCATATTTTTTTTCTAACTGTTCAGAGTATAAAGCGTAAGAATACTGAATTGAAACAAAAATTTTAATGATACAAATTCTGGAAAGAAAAAAAAAAGCGGATAGTGTGGCGGAGATATATACGAAAATAGCGCCCTTCGGACCGAAAAAAAACGTCACAGTATAATAATAATATTCGTTCGGCACGTGTTTTCATACCTATCCACTATTTGGATATTCAATTACACTTGCATTGTGTCGGTCGCTCGACGGGACGTCCGCGAAATACCGCACGTGAAAAGTAGATAGATAGGTATATATTCGTGGACCGACGCCGGGTGGTATCTCGTTAAATTATTGTTGCCTACCCGGACCCGATCCGATATTACAATATTTCGGCGACTGGTACGCGTACTAACGTACCCTACTCGAAACAAGCCACAGATTTAAATGGAATCGTCTGAATGATTTGCAGACACAACATTATTCGTTTTAAGAACGGTTTTATAGCTGGAGGTAAAGTTCGGGATAAAGGCTACCTCCTCTGTGTGGACGTTGCTGTCGCTTAGACGCGAGACAGTTTTAGTTCACTTTTTTACCAATTTTTCCGAGAACACCACAAACCGAAACTTTATTTAAATTGTCGAAAATTTACTTTTTCTTAAATGATTCTCTACGTATTATAATGTTTGTAACTAAATAACCATAACATTATTATTATTTATTTAAATTTGATATAGTCCAGAGACTCGACCTTATCCTCTAAGACCATGGTTTTAAGTATTGTAGGTGGGTTGTGGGTACCTTTATTATTAACCAGCGTCCATAATATTATAATCCATTTTATTGAGTTCGAATCAAATTTTTTTTTCATTTCTTCCCTTCTGGTTTATCTAAATCCGTCGCAGTTTTTCGTTTAGTATTTAATGGGTTTTTTTTTATTTTTTTTTTTTTTTTTATACTTAAGACACTATAACTTCTTTGGAACGGTATATCGGATAAAAAAACACTTTATCTAGTATCGCGTTATCGATATTATAATTGTGTGATCAATGAGGATTCTATTTATATCTGTGACTCGTTTCGAATAGGGAACGTTGATACGCGGCCGATAAAATCACGTGATATCATCGACAAAGATACGAATTAGATCTAAAGTAGGTATTCGATGTAAATAATGCACAACATGGTGAACTATATAATAATAAAATAATATTGTAATAAGGATACCCACCGGGAATACGATCAGAATTAATTAAATTACTGTGCTTATTATATTAACCACGAACCACGGGACATTAAAATTAATCGTACTGAAAATCGTTTATATAAAAAAAAAAAACAAAAACAACGCCAAGGGTAAACCACTTTTGTAGGAAGGAAGTTAAATAGTTATGATAATCACAAACGAAAAGCGATTCTGGACGGTGTTTCGGAGATTATATTAAAATATATATTGATAGATTTAAATTGAACATTGTATTAATTTGAAACTACAAAATAAATTAAAATAAATTACTTGTTTGTCAAGAAAAATAATTTATGAAAAATGTTTTACTATGTTTTTAAAAATATTAAAAATATTAAAAAATATGTTTATCAACAATTTATCATACAATATTATTGTTTTAAATTAACTTTATTTTGTACGTTAATATTTATTTTTTTAAACTTTTCCATTGCTTTTATCATAATATAAAATCCAATTCCCCAAGACAGTGTTCCGCTACCTATTATAACATCGTACTGGTAACAGTAAAAGATAAATGGCTCTACTCGTTTTCCAACTATGAACAGAAAACTTCATCGAAGTCATACGGTAGGTGGTGTTAGACCTTTTCGCTCGTTTTATTCGATTCTCTCTTTTATTTTCGGCACGCGGTTCCGTCGCACAATTTGAACAGACGCGTTTCCATCATAATAATATATTAGTATAGTATCAAATATGATCAGCTGCCGTGTCGTAATATTATATTGTTCCCAGTAAAACCGTATTAATAATATGACGCGTGGTTTATTGTAACTTTTTTGTTTTATCGTCGTAAAATAAATTTTCAGCCGATCCGTGAATATAATATAATAACAAAAAAACGCGTATCATAATATTATAACTAGCAATAATAATAATGTATACTCGTCGAAAAACAATAAAAAGTTGTTGATATTTATTTCATTCGACTAAATGTTTAAAAGAAAGTCTTTGTTTTTATCGATTTTATATGAGTGGGTCAAGATGGTATTTACCTAGTATTCCACATTTTTTTTTTTTTTACGAGGTATTTGAGTATTTTCATACAATATTTAATTCGGAAGTGTTATTGTCAATATATTTTTAGATTCTGAACGAAACGAGGAATGCGCATTATTAGTAGATATAGGCCAATTCCTGAAAAGTTACTGCTTTTTAACCAGGTCCGAAAATTCGTCTTTTGATTTTCGATACTGGCACCAATTCCGATTATTCTTTTTTTAATATGATCAAAATACAGCACTAATTTATTATGTCAATACCTGTAGAATTAGATCTCTTTGTGTAGTTTTAAGGCGTGATATTCTGAGTTGTTTATAGCGATTAGACATTTTCGAGTTTTTCATATTTTACATGGGTTTTGTTTTTTTTTTCTAATACCGGTCAACATTTTTAAATACTTAATAAATGTATGCAAATTTGACTCAATGATTCACATAACCTAACGATATATTTTTAATATTATATACATAATTACAATATTAAAATATCCAAAATTTGTTTTTTTAATAAACGTTCAAATTTGTATTAAACTTCGTTAAAAATCCGAACAATTGAAATGAGTGTAAAAATAATTTGATTTTAACAAACTTAAAAATTCTTGATTAAAATTTATCAATGAATTTGACTCCGATCTCTTCATAGAATTTCATTTGTGATTATCGTTTCTTGCAGTTTAAAACCTGAACCTTATTCTAGATATCTTTTATATTTAGTATTATTCATTTTTTTTTTTTTTTTTTTTTTTTTTTTTTTAAATCTTTTTGCACTGGAAGTGCTCGATCGATTGAATACATTTTCTGTCTTGATTGGTACTCGGTTCAAAGTTTGTGTGGCGTATTCACTTTATTGTATAATACACCACGTTACAATTATGAATATATACATAGTAATGGCCGTACACAATTCCAAAACACGTTATGATTAATAGTGACAAAATATTTTCGCAGTCGAGACAACTCATGAAAAGTATGAAAACTCATGTGCGTAGAGCAAAGATCGTCGTTGATAATAAGATAAAATATCATATCGAAGAAACAACTCAACACACGTTTTATAGTTTTCCCGTGGACTGTAATGGACCAAACTTTAAGTTAAAACTATAGTTATAAGTATATATACGAGAAACCGTCGAAATTTCAATTTTTCATTGATATTTTTCACAAGACGTACAAAACTTTACAACACATTAGATATTTACCGAATTATCGAACCATATACTTAATTTATATATACTTGTATAAGTCAAACGGTATTTTATATTTTTGATTATGATTGAAGCAAGGAATATATTATTTTTACTATAATATGTGTGTTTTTCTTAATCTTCTACTTGACATTTCGCTCCGGTCATCATTTTTAAGAGTGATTTTTGCTCAAAAATATTGTATAGCTGATGCATCAAAAAAATCGTTTTATAACTTTCCTAGAAGTTTTTTAATAATTAGGAACAAAACGAGACAATGATTTACACAATAACTTTGGTTTTGTTTTTTTAATGAAATTCAGTTTTAAACAGTTTAATTACTTAATTAATTATACATTTTTACCGAATATTATATACTATTTACTATATATTTCCAAATGTTATCACGATTTTTTGAGTTCTTATTTAATTTGCATGTTTTATAAAAATGTGTTGATTTCTTCAAAATGTTAAAACAAACAAGATGTATTATAACTAAAATTATTCTAAATTATTCTGATTACACTATAAAATTATAAAAAAAAACTGTAACAAATTCAGATTTTCTTTATAAGCGTTTAATTTTTAAATTTTAATGAAAATCATATAAATCATATAGGTGCGTACTGGGTTCTTGTACCGGAAAATTATTAAGTAAATAGGACTTAAGTACTTAAAAATATAAGTCAAAAACATTCATCAGGTAGCATCCTACCTACCTATTAACCTATGAAATCACAAAACTGCAATAGGTTATTTAAAGGAACAAGAGTAGGAAAATGTGTATAAATTAAGGGTCTACACGAGAGGAGTCCATTGAAAAATCCCCTGTAGCCCGGATGGCCAGAACGCACTTGAAATCATGTCATTTTTCGTATTTAGTATTTATTTCCAATACATGTTTAAAAAACACGGACAATTTAAATGTATATAATAGCTACAATATATTAAATTTGAGTTTATCAAAACATGTTTAAAAAAAACTTCCGTCAGAATCGATTTTCCTTTGCAATGACCTATCGTTGCATACAGATAAATAAAATGTACAAACATCCCAATTACAGTGACCCACCCATGGCGCGAAGTAGTACAACCGTATTTTTGACATATGGTCACTTGATTAAAAATAGACGCTAATTTATTAGACAACGACCATAGTCGGCCCATAATTATATCCGTTTTGCAACTGCAGCAGAAATTCAATGAAATCTGTTATTCAACCCGCTTCGACAATCCAACCGGTGTCCGGCTTTAATTAAATCCCGTAATGCGACTCCGGCGTTGTTTTTCAACTTTCCTCTTTTTCCACCTTTTTTAGCTGCCTATGCGTATAATATCTACATATATATACAGGTTGTCCCAAAAGTAAGTTCCCCCATTATTTCGATATAAAAAAAAAAAAAATGGATACATATAAAATTTATTATCTTGCAGTTCGGGAATAAGTAATCGTTCAGAACATCGTAGTATGCATTCCTAGTTACAGTATTGTCGTAAAAAAAGGACCATATCTCCATGACAGGCTCAAACCGCCCTATACTGTTAAATCGGGTTGATTTAATTGCTATTGATACACTAGGCCATGATAATATTTGTAAATTATAAATTAAAACAATAAAAACAAGTGATAACAAACAATGCTATCTAGTTTAGGTGCTGCTGTCATGGAAATCATGAGTTATAGTAGGAAGGGGGGAATTCTAGCAATGTATTTACATACATTGCTAGAATTTCACCGCACCATAATAAACAGTGTTACCTGCTGGCTATGAGGCATTATATTTACTTTCTCTAGTATGTAAACGATTCGTCATGTTTCCATCTTTATTTTATCATTATGGATCATGGATCATTATCGATCACGACATTATGATCGATGGCAAGTCCACTCATATAAGTGGCTGCAGACCGATTTTTCGCAAGCAAATTTGTACAAAATTAACATGGGCCAGTGTTTTGATAAAACGAAAACTGACAATTGGGCCACTCTGTATATTACAATTGAATATCGTAATTTTATTTTTACGGCCAATCGGGTAAATCAGCTCTTCACATTATTCATAATTTTATAACGACCAGCCACGCTGTTCTATATTTTAGTAACCGGATACCATACACTCGATTAGCATAATTAAATGCTCCAATAACCATTTCGGTAAAAATATACGTACGGTTTGGACTCTGGGTCGGAGAAAGACGGAGAAAACAACACTTATATTGTAAACAAAAATGATTTTAAATTTTAAATTTTATAAAAAATCCATTTGCATTGTTGCAAATCCGACCGATGACGGACTATTATTGCCAGTGAGAAGGAGAAAATTGAGTACAACGAAAGTTTTACCGTAAGGTTAAAAACGAAAATTTATCGAAGTCAAATACATTGAAAACCAATTTCACTAGTAAAAAAAAAAACGCATCAAAAAAATATCTCTAGTCAATTAAACGCAAAAAATTTACAATTTGTATTTATCTAATATACGAATATATCTAAAATTTATATATATATATATATATATACAATAAATATATAAATATTGAACCTTTTATTTTTAAAATTAAAATTTGATAAATATTCTTGACGGTATAATGACTATTTGAATTTTTGAAGAATGTGGCTTATAATAATTTCAACTGCATGTGTAATTTCCATTTTATATTACATTATAATAACACATCTATTTATTTTTAATTTTTACGTAACTTTTTAATCGTTATGTATTTTAAAGCAATGTATTTGTAAATTAGAATATTATATTATGTATAATAGTCGACTATCGTACGAGCCTATGAATTGGAATAGTCGTTAAGTATTTAGTTTGACCTAATATTTGTATATTTTCAAATTGAATCATGTTTAACTATATCCTCATTTTTCGATAATTCACATTAAACTAAATTACTTTTAATTATTTGATTTTCACTATTATAATATAATAGTCTGTTACGCTAAAAGTGTGATTTTCTCAATTATAATAATAGTAAATTTTTCTATTGAAAAATCTAAACTATGATTCACCAATGAAATGTGTAGTGGAGAGTTCGACTATAATTGTGTCAAAAATGTTGAAATCCTTAGAACAAGTATATAAATACCTAAAGTACTTACAGCTAAATAATTTTTTGTATTTTTCATGTTCCCTTTTAAAAATGATGACTATGTATAAAAGTTTTATGATGAGACACAATCCCTCTATGGTGTATGCATCACAGAAGAAAATATATTATACACTACGAATCCAAATGGGAAAATTCTCGCTGCATACAATCTTGGTTATCACTGTTATCAGTTATAACCTTATAAGTAATAACCTATTACGTTTTAGTCACCGATTATATGCGCTTAAACGTATACGTATTTTAACTTACATATTTTATAAACAAAAATCAGGATGTTATTATGTTTTCATTCAGAAGCCAATGAATTTCCGTATCTGCTGGAACAAATTATATTATTGTTGGTAGGAGGCTAGAATGCATAAAGGAAGGTAGAATACATAAAGTTATTTAATTGATATCTGTTTGCAACGATAAACTATTGCTAACGAAAAACAATTCGGAGCATAGTTCGATTACACAAGTTTTGAAAGGCCGTAATATTTATAATTTTCGTCAACATTTGATTTCAAAACTATTATGAAAAAAAAATACTATATTAAACTCAATTTTTCTTGTCACCACTAATTGTCATTTATAATGAATACCCTGTTAAATTTCCAAGTGTTTCTATTTAATCTAACAATTTTATAAGAGAGTTACAGAGATAAATATAAATTACGTATAAAAAACTCGCAAAATTAAAATTTCAATTAATTGTTCAAAACTTTCTCAAATGTTAAGAAAGTTTTACCACATCTAGAAAATTCAAATATCAGTTAATAAGTTATCTATCCAAATTTTAAATCTCTATGAATATTTTAAACTGAAATAAAACAAAAAATAAAATATAAATTAATAAAATCAATAGTTTCGTAAATTTTTCCTTTTTTTCTATGTTTTTTTTTCGGTTTAGTTTAATAATTAAAAAAAAAAATCATTTGGAAAATCAAACTACCACTTTTTTTGTGTACATTTAGATTCAAAATTCACCAAAAAAGATCTTTTCTCGTTTTTCTATTGTAGCAATATTTCTGGTAGAAAATAGCTTGCAAAATTTAAAAACAATGAAATCGGTAACACCGTGGCGTGCCGTAAATATTTACATTTTACCTATAATTTTCTTTCAGGCTTTTCCTATAATTATTTTAAAAATCTTTTAGGCAAATTAAAAAAAAACTTCCTAATTACCACCAACTAGGTAAAATTTTGTTTTAAAAAAGTATCTACACTTGATTCATCGGAGCACGTTTTCTTTTCAAAAAATGGTTTACAGACAGAAAAAAGAAGTAATAATAAAATGACAAAATACAAAAATAAAAACACATCATAGTATAATTAATAAATCTCTAGCTATGCTATGAACCTAAAATTTCGTGAAATATAAGTAAAACTGATTTTGTACAAAAACAAAAACTACGGAAATTAAAAATAAACAGAGAATATTAAAAATTCATATTGTCTCGTGAATCTAAATTTGGATTTTGAGTTACAACCTAATAAACTCATAAAATAATTTATTACAGTTGCACGTGCGTATTTTCACTGGTATTAGTTGATGAAATTAATAAAATATTTTCCAGAGTTACACTTAATTAAACATAATAGAACCTATATACGTGATTTGTTATCTAAATAAATTCGCAAATGCGGTTTTTTAATAGGAGAAAAAATGTGTTTTCTGCGATATCTTAAAAATATGCTCGTGATGTAATCAAAGGATTTATATAAATAAACAAAATGAGTCCGAAATTCAAGCAGCCGGACAAAAATTGTACAATACGTCCTGCATGATTATCAGGTCTGATTCATGTGCCTTGTATATTTTACGAAAACCGGTGATCGTCGAAATTATATTTTATCATTGGTTTTTTCATAACACAAAAATGCTTTGTATTTCAAAAAATGACCTCCTGAATGCATTGACTGGATCAATAACACAACCGTTCTCGTAATGGTTTTTTTCCGGTTGAAGCAAGTAATAATAGTTTTTTCTACGTAAAATCGTTTAACAGACAGAAAAAAAAATATTTAAATAAAAAATACAACATATTAACTAGGCAAACCATGATGTTGTTGCTCCAACAAGAATCTATAAATTATTATAGTTAATGCGTTTGAGTTTAGCAAAGGCCATTATCGAGTACACTGCACAAGAGCCAAAACTCACTTATACATTAAATTATACATATTCGTTAAATAACACAAATCTTTTCTCGAAATATACAGGATCGCTACAAATTTTACAAATTCAATATATTCGAACGCAAAAATAATTTATGAAAGATTTACAAAATATATATATATATTATATTTAATATTTATATAAAAATAAAACGTTATATACAGGGATATCGGTCACGGTGAAACACCCTGTATAGATTTGTACGAAGAACCCCGGGGAAATTACCCGTACGAATCCTTCCGGCCACGATTCGACGACGCTTTGGTAAACACTTTTTTTTTTTTTAAAAAATAAATGCAACCGGACCCAAAACGAAAGCTACGTGTGTGTTTGTTGGTAATACGTGTAGCCCAGCCTTTGCGACTTTCAAGGCCCTCGGGCGACAGAGACGAAGTAAACGAGTTAACTCCGTCATCGACTACTAAAGATACCGAGCAAATATCTGTCTCTCTCTCTCAGTATTTACAAGCCATTTCAAAGCCTTTCGTCGTTACCCCGAAGTCCGTCCCTTATTGGTATTTCGTTGTTATTCTTCTTTTCTTTTTTTTTTTTACTGAATGATTTGGTATAATATTAAAATTGAACAGATTTTATTATAATTACATACTTTTAATTGGTTAAATTAAATTAAATTTATTTTATTTTATTAATTTAAATTCAATTTTTAATATTTTTCCATATTGGGATATAAATACATATTATTATTTAACAAATATTTGGGAAATTAAAATTTTTTCCAAGATGTGTTTTTAAATTTATAATTATAAGCATAGTTTAAGACAGCTGCATTGATTTTAATATGATGTATTATTTTTTATTTTGTGTTTTCTACCGTAAATCCTGATGCGATTATAAACATCATTGGTGTTTTCTGGTAAAACTTTGTGTCTAGTTGGTGCAATGGGAAGATAATATTTTAATATTCCTCATAATTGGCTTAATACTGGAAACCAATAAAAAAAACAAAAAAAATAGAAATATTTACGCAATAATGGCTTCTATTATTTTCGGTTTTATCGTTGTATTTAATTTTTTTTTTTTTTTTTGTAATATGATAACGTATTTTGATTTTTTTTTTATACAAATTTGAATTAAATTAAGTGCATATCTTGGATATTTTATGACAATAAAATCAATTCTATATAAATATTATCGTTATGACGGTAAAATACCGCAACAGGTGAAAATTTAACAAGGTTGGGTCCGATAAAATTAGGTCAAGTTAAAATGCCATTAAAACGAAAGAAAACTTGTTGAAAATTCTCGTTGTATACGACCATGGTTATCACTGTTATCAAGAATAACTCATTACGTTTCAGTCACCGATTACACACGCTTTATAATGCATACGTGCGTACACAGATTTTATAAACTAAAACCGAATTCTGTAAGTTCGGATATGTTATTAAACTCGTACTTTTATTCGGAAAGCCAATGAATTTCCATACCAATTCGAATCAATTATATTTTTGAAATGTGAAATTGTACGAGCATTTTATCACATACCTATTACAATAAGTATTTAGTGATTTCTGAAAAGTATATTTCAAAAATATTATAATTCGTGAAATATTATTACGTACATGAATAAAAAAACGCATACGGAAATAAAAAATAAATAAAGAACATTAAAAAAAAAAAAATGATAGTGTCAAGTGAATTCAAATTTTAATTTTGAGTTACAACCTAGTATACTTGTATAATAACATATTACAGGTGCAAATCTATATTTTTACTGGCATTTATTTCCGGAATAACGGCGAGTATACCGCAACAGGTGAAAATTTAATAACGGTTTTGTCAAGTCGAATGGCAATAAACGAGAAATGCCGCCATTCAAACGTGAAAATATTGTTGCGTTGTCCTTGTCGAGTTAACTTTCGCATTCCGTATAAAATATTTGGTACAATATGTTGTTATTCCTCCGACTTTTCAAATATATTTTATACATTTTAATTACTACAATATTTGACCCGCCAATCAGATAACCTTTCATACCGAATATAATATTGTCATTATTATATAATTAAAATACGCAATATTGCAAATACAGTTGTTACAGGTATAATAATGCTACTATTTTCAGTTTTCGTCAAATGTTTACGGAATATTTTAATCGGAATTCCTGTACGCTAAGGGTTTTAATAATAATAATATAAACTTTATAGAACACGCTGTTTTTCCGTATAAAAACCATAAGTTTATCACTTTCTGTCTTTTTGTCTGTTGTCACTTATACGAGACTATCGATTTAATTAAAAAACGTACGCGCGCGTACTAGGTACTGTATTAGAGCGTAATAACTATGATGACGTAGAAAATATGCGAGAGAAGAAATTCAACGTGAAAATGTTCATTAAACACAATGCGCATATTTTATACCTATGTAATAATTACTCGAAATTAAACGTCTAACAATTCCCGTACGAAAAATATAGTAGCCAAATTGTGCACTCGGAATTTTTGATTTTACAATACACCTACCGTGAAAAATATATTCGACTTTAGTTCGCGTTTATACCGAACGACGCTAAGTTACAACGGGGAGATATGCTCACCATTTATATTCATGAAACATCATTTAACTCGATTTACATCGGGATGGCACATATATATATATATATATATATGTGTGTGTGTGTGTGTGTGTGTGTGTGTGTGTGTGTGTTTGTGTAAAATAGTACTAAAAGTGTGCATTTCTGAAACGACGTTTTAACTTTTAAATTTGATTTCTTTATTTTTTCATTTGGATAGTTCAACGTAAACTTAATGTTGTATTAAATTTATTAGTAATAATATCGTGTACACTCGGAATATATTTATCATACAATGCGAACCGATTATTAAGAATAATAAAAATGTCGTAATAAATATATTATATTATTATACTAAATGTAAATTATTCAATATTCAAAATAAAATTGCGAGATAAAAATCATGTATTGTAATAATATATTTTTGTTTATATATGCATATAATGTCTACAAGTGAAATACATAATTTTATTTATACCTAATTTAAAACAAAATACGAGTATCCAATCTATTCCAATACATGTTATTTGGACTATTATTTTTATTTTTATTATTATTTATTTATTTTTTTTTTTTTTTGTTTAACAAAACACCCATTTTTTCTAGGAACATGAAAATGTATTCAGTCGTACCTATAAGTTTGGTTAAACAGAATAATTCGGAACTTTCATTTTTCCGAAAACGTCGAATTTATTTTTTTTTTAAAAAAAATAAAATAAAACATCAATGCGATCTTGTCTGTAACTCCATTGTTGAATAATTCTATGAAACGTACACAAATTATAGTACAAAGAAAACGAATAGTTTTAAATGCATAAGGTTCACTCTTGACCGCGATGCACGAGGTTTACCTGATCGTAAGTTCTATCACTAAAAACAATCGGCATTTATGCTTATTTTCTGACCGAGGGTTCGTATTCATCTACCGTGGATACTGATATATTACCTGAGTTTCTTAAAGAATCGATAAACATACACCTAAAACTTTATACAGATGTAGTTTTAAACCAGAAATGACATAATAATAGGCTATTTTTATTTTATTTTATTGTTTAACAACTGAATTAAACTCCAAAAGAGGGACTGATGCAAAACTGATTTATAAGTTACCTTGGATATAAGGATGGAATAAAAAAAATAGTTAAAACAAAAAATTAAATAATGAACAACAGTTACGATAGATACTGATTACCAGGGGCGAAGTGGCCGGTCTGGAAATAAGAATTGTATATTTGTATAGGTATCTAATATACTTACTTACTCGTATTTTTCAAAAATTTAGGAAAAAATTATACCGAGACACATTTTATTATGTTCTTATTATTCGTATTCCAGTAGGTACACCGATTAAGTTTTTTTTATATACATTTTCGTTTAAAGTATAACATTAAAACTCATATTGATTAAAAAACTTTTTCAAATTGTTTGAATCGAAACTCCAAAATTAATTCAATTTAGCGTGTTTCCGCCTTTCTATCCCCACCCATATTGCAGTGAACCTTTGTAAAATAGGTAGGTGGTAACAACCAATTTAGGTAACTATAATAATATTATTTTTGGTTTATTTCATCCGAATCACCAAGGCAACTCATAAATCAACAAAAATAATTCGATTATCTTTGCGAAAATTGCCAAAACTCTGTGACAGCTTCCTTATGAAAAATGTTGAGTTTCTGTAATGACTTCAATGAGTAAAAATGGACTACTTTCATTCACTTTTGTGTGCATATTTCCTAACCTCTACGGGCGACAGATTCGGCTGTAGATTGCGCACTAACAGACAAACAAACACTTTTATTTTAAATATTTTTAACATTTCACCAATAAATATGTTTATTATTTGGACATTATGTCCGATATTATTGTAGAATTTCCATGTTTATTTTAGAATTTTACAATGTGGTACGGGACGATAAGTATACATTTTTGTATTAAATTTAATCACATTTCAAATGGCATGTGGTTTTTTTAACTGTGTATAACTACGAATAAAATATCAAGGATTTATTCGAATAAAAGATTAGTTTATATTATAAAAGCTGTCAATATTTCTTTGTTTAATTTATGTCTAAACATAGTCATATTATTTTAAATCGTCTTTATTTATACGTATAATATTAATAATATTTTAAAATAGTTAACCTATTAATATTAATATTACACCGCTAAAAACTCACGTCTTCGGTTTCCATGATGTTGCAACACTGACCCACGGACGTGATTCGCTGATGCGGGTTGATCATCACCGTATCCGCCGGCGACGGCACTGCCCATGATTCGCAGTACCCTCGGCAAGCATTAGTCGTAATGTGAAACTCCACGCAGTTAGGTATGCTGATTTTCCTCGTGTGACCTAAAACGGAGTAGTAATTATTAATATCATGTGATTGGTATTGGTAAACAAGGAAAAATGCAAAAACTCTTCAAAAAGTGGTAGATGTGGGCTGCATTCGTATGTGAGAAATTTAGAAAGTTCAGTAATTCAGTTAATAATATACTGAACTAAACCATAAATCATTATACAAATAAATATTCTGAGCAAAGTTTAATAAACTGTTAAGGTTATAATGTTTGTCGTGTTTTTCCCCATGATAGCCAAAAAGATAATCCCGAAACTAACAGAAATAAAACGACTTATCGATATATGTATCAACACATTTTGTCTTCAGATTTGAAAAACAAATTTAAAAAAACTGTTAGAAGTCTATAGAAATATGTATCAAATACAATACCAGAAAGCGAAAATTTTGAATCTTTTAATGTGCATGTAATGTGATAAAATCGAAATATTTTGAATAGGTTACTGAAAAAGTGTTTTCTGAAGAAAAAAGAAACACTTAATGAAATCTTAATCAAACTGAAAGTTTCTGTTCGCTACACTCCGAATATATAAAACAAAAAAATGTTATATTTCAAAAACAATAAAATAAAACATTATTACATACAAGTATTGTTCATATATTGAAGATTAAATAAAAATCTTTTTTTGATATTTTTGTGCCCCTTTCACCGCCATCCTACGAACCAGATCTACTCGTGGAAATAGTGGGATAAGAATACATTTATATGTCCAAAACAATACTTCACTACTACTTATATTTCTTTACGTGATTTTTTTAATATTATGTTTGTTAAAACTCAAAACCTACTTTGAAATGCGGAATATGATTAATTGAAATTCTACGAGTAGAGTTTTTGAGTATTTAATAGTTGTATAATTAAAAAAAAAAAATCAAACTAGTGCATTCACAAAATATACATTTTTTTTTTTAATTATATTTATTGTATGAAAATCATCAAATGCTGATAGTTTCTTCAATACTTATTTATAGTATTAGTATAATATAGTTCGTATCTTATTCATATTATTTTTCGTGCTTCTATTAGCCTTCTACTACGGGTAGGTATACACTTTGCATGTACACAAAAGTTTGGACAATTCCATACAATAATGTTATAAAATGAACATATTATTAAATTTAACAAATTGTATACCTATAAGGGTATTTCCATGCGTGGGTTGGGTTTGAAACTCAATATTTAAAATTCAAATAACACCCACCATTTGTCTTACATACTTTATTCAAAGTAATTCCTAAAATACATGTTTTGTGTTCTAAAAACATTCTATAATAAAAAACTCTTTAACTAGAAGATGTAATCTAAAGTTTTTTTTTTTTTTTAAATTGTATAGTATAAGTATTTTGAATTTCGATGTATATACCACTCAACAAAAATGTTTATTTATACGAATAAATTCAAAGTGGTATCAATAATAACCATTTTCTAGTACATACACCAAAATTGATTTTTAAATATTACTTCTACAAAAAATTATCAATCTACTGTTGTCATTTTTATTGAATATTGCTAAAACTGATAAATTTCTGCTTTCAAAAACGATTCTAAGAAGAGTAAACTAGATACAATAAATTGTATAATTGATATCATTAAAAATGGTTGTTGTTTTTTTTTTAAATTTTATTAAGGTAGTAATATTACGCTGTCAATATAATATGACCAAAACTAAAAGATTGAATTTGTTTATATGCAATTAATTTGATAATTTAGAGAACTTATTATTATTATTAATTGATACAATAACCTGGTTTTCAACTTACATCAAAAATTACTATCTGTCAAAAATATGCTAACGTTCGTAGTTATTAAATTTATTTACAGACAAATTATTATCATTATTGTTTCACCGTCAAAAAAAAAAAAAAAGTACACCAAAGGGAGCTGTTGAAAAAATCATGTTTTTTGTTTAAAATATCATACGCGATCTATGAAAAATAAACTACAGTCTCCTTGTGATATGTTTTTAGAGCAATATTTTGCCGTTCCCAAATAATATTATCCGCCAAGAGAATAAAAAGAACACAACATAGCAAAGCTGCAACGGATTCTATATAACGATTATTGTTTTTATTAGATATACTGTACTAATAATAATTACCGTCGTAACAATTGATAATCTACTGGTACTTAACGACGAATAAACGGATTTTTGGTGTACTTGTATCGAATAAATTAATATTACCGCGTGGGATGTGAACACTAAAGAAAAATCGCGAAATCGTCGCCTACGAGTCGGGGCGTTGGACTCGTTACTTTTTAATACGTGAACGGAGTGCAAATCGTTCCGAACGTTCATTAACGGCTGTTGGAAAACGGGTCGCCACCTCGTCGTGTGCCGTTGAAAATATAAATGGTCTTTTATAAGTAAATAGAAACAATGAAAATAAAAAGGGGAAATATTGTTTTTTTTTTCTCGGAAACGACTCATTAGCCGGTGGCGTCTCGACGGCCGCAACGATGACAATCGTGTAATAAACGACGACAACGGAGAGTATTAAGTGCCAAGTTCCGAATTAACGGACCGAGAAGATTAAATGTCCAGTTTCCCGGGATAATGCCACCGCGGACTCCCAAAATGTTTACAATAATATCCCTCGAGTTTAGGCACAGGAGACAGGTCCTCGGCGGCACCTGAATGAAAAATTATTTTTCGAAAATTAATACAAACCGTTTTAAACGGACACGTGTCTGGAAGTTGTATTAATAAACCTGTGTATAACATAGTAACGAACACTTCCAAATAGCTTACACAATCGATATTTTTCGATCATGTAGATGAATTATCAAACGTTTCATTCGAATAATTTGTTTCGTGGCCGAATGGTGTTATTTTGGAAAACTATCGATAATTTTAAAGAACTATTAAAAATAGTTTTTATTCCGTAACTGGATAAAATATTTGAACAGTGTTTAATCTATTAAACAGTCTGAATTCTATTAACTATGGATTAGTTTGATAGTGATTATTCGATTGTAGACAACACTAATAACCTAAATATTTTGGTGATGTTATTTTAAAAGTTTTATCTGAAATAAATATAATCAACATAAGCCGATTGTAATGAAGATATCAGAATACTGAATGACGGGGTTTCGGAAAAAGTATCTTTAGTGTTTCTAGAATATTAACAAGCGTTTATAAAATCGGATTTTTGACTAGTATAGGTATTTTCAATAAATTTAATTTCAATATCAAATTGTGGTTTTAATTTCAAATCAGGTATCGATTATACATCGGAATATCTGATTTCGGAAAAATTTAATATCGGCTCACAATGGTGACCCGATATTAAATTTTCACCATGAATTCATTAGATGAAAAACCTTTCCTAAACTAGATTAAAAAATTATAATATTATAATGGTACATATTTTTGTGGGAAATACAGCAAATTCAACGGATAGTATATACTCACCGACTTTGTGGCAACCGGGTTTTTGCCAAGTGTCCGAACCCGTTACCGACGGAGACTGCTGCAGGAACGCTAACAGAAGAATCATCGTAACGCTTGTCCACCACCGGCAATTACCCATGTCACCGCGGACGACTCTGGAAACAAACAAATTTATTTTCATAAAAATACTAACAATAGCGAATGTAATCTTTATTTACCATTGTTTATATTACTTAATCTATAGATAGATACATAATGTCATAATGTTATAAACTAATAATACATATACATGTAAAATAAATCCAAAGCTATCGAAAGACTGATACTGCTGATGGGTGTACGACTGTTTTAGGAGAGAAATTGGTGGGGAGGATATAATATAGAATAATTTAAATATTATCTATACGCAACGTTAAACCTTAGAAAAAACTATTCTATCAAAACGATTAAAAAATGATCTCCTCAATACACCAACTAGATGAGCAATTCTATAACTATATAATTCCAAAAATCTTAATATAGTTCCATTTATTATGTATTATATTGATGTATTATTGTTAGATACCAAGGTAAAAAATAAAATATTATTTTTTTCTACTAATATACTACTATACAATCATAACTTTTCTTATTTTAATAGTGGTATAGAAAGTTTTTTTTGTGTACATAACAACAATGGTACTTGTACATTCGTTATACAAATCGGTAAATTATTACAACATATTTGCTTCCTTATTTACCAAAAATTATTGAAAAATAACTCGACTCTTTCAAAACAAGTTTTAGTTACTGAATTTATTACAGTATTACACTTAAGTTTTCCACAGTTCGAGTAAGTGAATACTCCTACAAATTACAAACAAAATGTTCATATCTGTAAGTAGACGTAGGAACTCAAAGTTATTATTACATTATTAATATAATATAATAAATAATCTCTGAAAGGTTAATCTATGTGAGGAAATCGATAGGTATTTTAATGCCTATCAAATTTTTAGATTTAGATTTGGAGCGTGGCGAAGGATCTATTGGTTTTACTATAATATGTGTGTATTTTTTTTATATCTGTAAACAACTTTTCAAAAAGAAATCTTGCTCTAAAGTACCAAGTAAAGCGCATTTACTGTTAGAAAATTGTATCTAGATGGTGTAATAAAATTAATATATTTTGATTTTCCAAGGGGTTTTCAAAATAATTTGAAAAAAACCCAAAAGAATATTATAGGTAAAACGACAAATATTTACAGCGTGGCGATACCTATTTCATTGTTTTTAATTTTTGCGAACTATTGTTTCTACCAAAAAAATATTGCTTTAATCAAAAATTACAAAAACTTCTTTATTGTTCAATTTTAGATCTAATTCCTCACTCAGAAAGTTGTTTTTTTTTTTTGTTTTCCTAACATTTTATATAAAATAACGGTAGCTTTGATAAATATATGAACCATAGGATTAAGTTCAGTTGGGTTAAGTGAAGCTAAGCGTCAAGTGTTTCATGAGATGAGCATGGTGTATGGTTCGCAGTGTTAGATGATAAACTGAAAAATAGAAATGAAAAATTAGATATATGACAGAGGTGGAGTAATAATAGAAAATACATTAGGTGTGGCTTCAATAGTGAGCAAAATGAGAGAAAACTGACAGATGATTGGATCATGAGGAGATGAATCAGGAGTGGTAAGTATTATTATGAAAATAAACATAGGAGAAAATAGGAGACAGAATGATCAAAAAAGAGGTGGTTGGATGCGATGGTAAAGGATTGAAAATGGCGGGCATATGTGATGATGATATGGGAATTGGATAATTTAAAAAAAATTTGAGCCATTTTTGAGCTATAACTGAGCTAATAAACATTATAATTTTGGAAATTTTTCATTTAAATTTTATTCGGTAGGTATTATTTTGATAAAATCGTTAGACCAAACAGAAATGTTTGAAAATTTAACAAAAAGTTCATTATAAATTGTAATTAGTTGCTTACAAGAAAACGTTGAGTTTAATATAGTATTTTTTTTTTTTTTTTTTAAAAGAACTCGAATATTAAATTTTGACAAAAGTCATAAATATTTCCTACGACCATTCAAACCATGTATCTATAACCGAACTCTGCTCAGTACAGTTGTTTTGGTGATTAATCGTTGCGTACGGATGTATATTAAATTCCCCTTTTTATCTTACTCTACCGACTTCAATGCAAAGTATATATTTTTTTTTTTATCTTAGACAATGCTTTCCAAGTACATAATTCCTTTCATGTAACGGGTGTTTCAAAGCTGAAACTTTTATTTTGCATATTTTTGCAAAATTTCAACGGTTTTTTATTAGCATTTTTTGTATTGTTCGCTCATTTTGTTGGTTTTAATGCATATTTGTTCAACATGGACAAATAACAAATAATTGGTCAGTTCGCATTATATCGCGGTCGTATTTCGTATGTTCGTAATTTCAATAATATTAAATAATGCATAAAATAAAATTACCTACTTCTATTGAAATTTACTTGCTATTGAATACCATACACTAGAATGTTTTTTGTGGATTACCTTTGTAACATGATTTAAAAATAAACTGTTATTAATTATTTTTTTATACATAGTATATAACAAAGTCGCTTTCCGCGTCTGCATATCTGTATTTCATTATTTTATTTAGATTTTTACATTTAATTGTTATCCTTATGTTATCAATCAATTATGCTATGAAGAAGCCGGTCAAATAGTTAAATAGGTCGTAGTACCAGAAACCAGAAATGCAAGCAGAAAACGTTTACATCTTAATGATGAAACCAAAAACGAACGGGAAATCAGGTTATCTAATATAAGAGAAAGTAATTATTTAAGACGAAATAGGGAAATGTCTATTGACCGTGAAGTTCGGTTTTGAAGTATATTTGAAAAAATATTACTGCTTTATCTAAAAGTAATAGAGCCTGTTTATTTTAATTTATATTTTAAAAATAAATAAGAACTGAATTATAAATATCTTTATTTTTTAGCACATATTAGTTATTTTAATTTAATTTGTTGATCTTTAAAACATTTTAAATTTATGGACTTATTTAAAATACTTAATAACCCATACTGTATAGACCATCGAGGACTAGTGTACAATTTTATTTTGTTTCGTTTTTTTTTTTTATTTTTATCTATAATGTAATGTAATGTAAACAAATTGCACAAGTCCTTTAATCAGTAATTTAGACAAGAATTTATCGATGTACTTGTGTTATGAAAGGCATTCAAAATCTAGTTAACTAGTAGAAAGGTTTATAATTTACCGGTATCGTCAAACAAGAGTCAGGTAGTAATTTTTTTCGTATTTTAATCGTATTCAAAAAAATGGTCTACGCGAGTAGTACCTTTAAAAGCTCCAAAGGGTAGCGAACAAATTGATCGTGTCTTTATAAGCGTCTACGATTTATTGCGATTCAAAAAAAAGTTTATCTCGTACTACATTTATGACCGTTTTATTATTTATTTTACCAGAGTATTTTATTTTTTTTTAAAGTCAATTTATTTTGATAAACTTATTGGAGCGGAATATAAAAAAAAAAATTAGACTACTGTAGACAACTCATTTGTATTAGTTTACCTCGACTATCTTATTCAGTTAAAATGTAAGATTATTAAAACAGCGATTATTTTGGTTAGAAAAAAAAATTCGAAATTAAGAAAAAAAAGACTTTATGAAATCAATGCAAAAAAAAAAATTAAAACCATAGATTAGTGTCACAGTTAAAATATTGTAATAATATGTTTAGATATTGAAAGCAAACTAAAATATAACGCGTAGGAAAAAAAGAGAATACAATTGTTATTTAAGTAAACACAATATACTGACCAGATTGTATTTCATACAAATATACGTAGACTAAATGACGACATGGGTCACGACGAATGTCCAAATATTGTATACTCGAGACCAAGAAGTAAGCATAATAAATAGCAGACGACAAACGATTATGGTAATACTTTTTTTTTTGAAATCTCCAGACGATACAAACATCAACAACGTAATAACACGAAGACGCCCAACAGACTGGACACATATAACAATAATGTACAATACAAATGGTATTCTAACAATTTTTCGAACACTAAAAATAATTTCCACACTTATTTATTATCTTGGTTTTATTACACGGTAGCATTAAATACAATTTTGCTTGTATAGATATTATTCTGTTTTTTCAGACATTTTTTTTCCTACTCGTACAGTTATTGAATATTGTACGCTTCTCTAGAATAGACAAATAATATTATGTGTGCTCGACACTCGAAGTCAATTTCGATTTTTGGCCAATATTCTATTCTAATTGTATCTATAACAATATATTATTCCTCTATTCATGAATATCTATAGGTATAATATCTCAGCAAAACATCATCACAGAAATGCCTATAAAACTTGAGTGCCACTACCGTTGGAAATAAAACGAAAATCAATGACAAGCGCGTAGCTACACTGCACTATATCCTATATCACTATAGCATCCCTGAAACAAAATGTCATCGAGTATAGTTTCCATCAAATGCGTACTTCCCGTTGAAAACGTGCCAACAATATAATAAGAATCGCTATTTTCCAATCTCCACTCGTACGAATGCTTTGCCACTGCAGACGAGAGTGTTGCCGGCGGCGCATAAACTTACGAGCAGCTTATTATATAGACGTACCACGTCTAAACCAGAGTTCTCGAACTTCAAATATCGGCTACTGCTTAGCATTATTACTCCACAGCACATGATGAGACGTATTACGTATCGATATTTTGTTGGTAACTCCATAACTTGTAAACGGATGGACCGATTTGACTGTTTATTATATTTGTTGTGTTCGTAATTGTCAGAAAAAGGTTATTATGAAAGAAAATGTTTGGAAAATCTACCGGAAAAGTCATAAATTTGGATGGTATTCAAGTTATGGCGTTACCGACAAAATATCGATTTATTTTTATATTTACAGATTGTAGATTAACAATCGAGTTATTAATTTTATATTAATATAAATTGTTTTCGCAAATACACACATAAAGGTATAAAAGGAACACCGCACCATTTGCGAGCGACGACTATAATACGGTACATACGCTCTCTCACTATTGAGTATCCCCACTCCTCGGTAGGTTATGTTAGGATTCACTTATTTTTAAATCCGCCCACCCTCTTCGCTCCACAAAAAAAATCAGTGTTTAGATATTTTTGGTATAAAAATCATAAAAAAATAGCCCACTTTTTAGCGCGCTAAAGATGTACTACCTACTTTCCACCTATTTGTTCTCATTCAATACTTTTATTTCCGTTTTTTTTTTTCAAATACTTCTCGGCTATAATGAACAGATAAGTGAATAATTTCAATAGTTTTCGCCTGGGATATAGATAATATATGATAACGATGATATGCATAAACTACACCCGTTATCGTTTTACGATTTGGAATAGCGTATCACTGCTGTAAAATAATAGTACACAATAATACTAAACAAATAATAATAATAACAATATAACGCCCATGAATAAAATATTTGATACGGTCGTTTAACACACGGAAAATAAATAAAAACGCCTGCTTGGCGTAAAAATATTTCTAGAGAGTCTCCGGAAATTATTAAGTAATTAGCCATGATGATTAAATATGGTTAATAATATGGTTCAAACAGGGTAATTAAATAACCGCGATTGAATGTAAATATGAACACGATTCTTAGGAATATAAATAATAAGGTTAGAATTTTTCGAAATTTAGTATGATTTAAAATTTTTAAAATGCTATTCTACAATAATGAATATATGATATATTTTTATTATTGTAGAAACGGAGCCCTGAATCATAATTTTATTTTTGAATCTGAGAGAAGAGCATAATAAAAAACATTACATATAAACGAACAAAATTATAGTAGTTTCACTTACCAAAAACCAATTCAAGTAGAAATTTGGAAAACTATATTGTCCCGTCATAGTGTCATACTGGAATTGATTGAAACATCGTAATTTGGGGGTACGCACAACTTCGGGAAACACCTTTAAAGGGTGCCTCTTAGGTGACATCCAAAGAGCAAGTTCTAGAATTTATGGAAATGGTATTTTCTAATATTGATCCACCGGAAACAGGAGCAAATTTGTCCCATAAATAAAATATATCGTGTACTTGAAAAAAAAACGAAAAAATGACCGTGACTGCTGACTACGATATATCAAAATCCTTTTTGTGTTCACTCATGATGACATTCTCCGCTCCAGTGGTAAATCGATAAAATACACATAAATAATATTGTTGTAAATAAATAACCAATGTTTCACTTTTACGAATAAGAAGTAAAGTAGGTCTGACTACCGATAACTTCAAGTGACTCAACTCTCAACTGAGACATTTTTCCCATAAAGCATATTTTAAATAACACATATTATGGTTCTAAATGTACGAATAACGAGTTAGTTTTCTATAGAAAAAAAATTAAATAAAATATAACAAAATCGATTGGTATAACCCTAGCTGTTTTATTGACTATATATTTTATTGCGAATGCAGTCTAATAAGATCATAATGATTATAACTGATCATATTATATTGTTTTTATTTTTATTCCATTCCCATATTAATATTATTTTATTGAACAGTTGATATATAATTATTTTCACCGATCCAAAAACATAAAAATAAACACGAGCCGCCGATTTTTACTTAGTCACTTGCCGACTCAATCTTGGTGTGAATTTATATAAAAAAAAATATAATATTATCATAAAATAGATATCAATATATATATATATGGGTAAATTTGATATGACTGTATTATAAAAATACCTATAATATATCATACTAATATATAATATATTAAAAAAGTACTCGGCAAAATTAATTCATTACGTTTGAATGATAAACTGAGTTTCGTAGTCGTGGATAAGCGCCTTACGACAAAAGAAAAATATACTTTGGGTTTAAGACGTCAACAACAAATTATCTGTCCGTCGACAAAGAGCTGTACTAAAAATCATATACAAAACAAATGAGTACCGGTGATTAATTGTAGTAAATAAAATACGTTTCGAAAAATGTAAAACGCTTATATATATATATTACAATTCTTTTCATTTTGGCCTGAGAAAAAGATTTTAAAAACAATAGAAAAATAAGTATAACATATCTTTAAAACAAAACTCGCTATTAAGTGTATATTCTAAACTCTTGATGTTATGATTAATTAAGCATTATTTATATTGTTGTTATTTCAAAAGACATTTGAATATAATATTTTTCAAACCACTCGTCACGTAATAATTAAATTAAAATATATAAGTATAAGGACGAATTAAGTATTATTATTAAGCACATTATAATAATTAAAATTAGTCTTATAAAAAATGTGTAAATGCACACAATACCTACCAGTTGCTTGTACCCTACAAACAACTGAGGTTCGAAAATTATATTTGCATTTATATTTATATAGCATTTGCTTATATTTTAGGCTTGAAATTAATTTTAGGAGTTTTATAGACATTTATAGCATGTTACGAGATTAAATATGAAATTTGAATATACTTTATATTGCTTATTTTGAAAGTTAAAAATTCTTTACACCAGTTTTTTGATTATTTTATTATATTTTCTATTTTGTAATTAAATCACTATAACAAAACCCAGATTTTTTACGAATGTAGTTATAGAGTTTCAAGAACTCTTACATGAAATTTGAAAGTATTTTGTTTTGCTTATTACGATAATTATTATTTTTTTAAATAAATTGCTTTTAACTTATTTTTTTTTCGTTATTTCATAATATTGATACCGAGCGTAGCGAGAAAGCTAATGGTGGTTTTACTAAGATGTTTATTTTTTTCTTTCTTTCTTTTTTTTCTAGTCTGTGTACATGTTTTTTCCTAGTAAACTTGCTTTTATGTATGAGTTTAAGTTAGGTTAGGTTAGGTTAGGTTAGGTTCACCTTTTCTGAAATATCAAATTGTCTAAATTGTACTTTGAACAGGTCATTTTTTGATTTTCGATGCAATTTTTTAAATAAAAGCACTTAAGTGGGAAAAAACATAGGAAAACGTACAATTTTCGATATCATTATTTTAAAAAAACGCGGTCGACATTTTCTACCAGAAAAAAAATGATTTAATCGAAAAATCACAAGGCACCTTTTTCAAAATTACCGGACGCTTTTTTTTTTTTTTAAATCAAATTTAAACGAAAATCGCAAAAAAAATTACGACACTTCAAATTATGTATTATCGAACTGTGCTCGGAATCGTCTTTTGTCAAGCAATAGTTTAACGTTGATTACAGATAAAAATGAAATAATCTTATGTATCCTACCTTCCCAACTTCTCATTTACAACAGTGGCCGCTTCCATCCCCAGCATCAGCTCTTTATTTTAAAAAATACTTATTAAACTTTTTTGTTGATGTTAAGTCTCAAAACTCGAATTTATAAGTATAATAAAATATAAGCAGTGCTTATTATTTTTGTTTATAAATGCAAACTGAATTATAAATAATTTCAGTAGATATCCGTGATTGAATGAAATGACATGAAAAGATTACAAAAATATTTGATTTTTTATTTTTAATCTATATATTTAATTTGATTAACACAAAAATAATATTGCCAGTTAATATTCTATAGCTACCTATTGCGGAAGATAAATATAAATGTGAACTCTATAAATTATATGATTACAAAATTTAACGGGTATTAATAATTTTATTGTTTTGTAAATATATAATAGAGTTAATTTACAAAGCGTATTCTTTTTGGTTTTGAACTATGAGTTTAATACAGAACACCAACGACAAATTCGTGTTAACCTATCGCAATGTATGAAATTGATATAAAATTATCCTTGAATAGTTTACACCAAAGTTACTCACAACGGCTACCGGCATGGCATATTCCTAAATTATTACATTCAAGATAAATAAATGTCCAGAAGATTTAATAAGAAAGAACATAGATTTCGATATCAGCAAATCTACCGTCGTGAAATGAATGAATTTTCATGTTTGGTTGTATAAAAGTATTAAAAAAAAACCCCATATACGCAAACGAGTAGTAAAAATATCCATTCTATTTCAAAAGGGATCGTCGTAAACAAGTCGTTTGGCTCGTAAAACCTCTTAGACATTACAACATTATAAACATCATAAAAGTATCTCAAAATGCAAAATGTATTTTAAAAAATATTATTATATGAACGCAATTTATGCGAGAGGTGCATGGGTGTTAAGTATCAATAAAAATACCAGAGAACGAAAAGAAACAAAATAATTCATTTTGTAAATTTAATTTAAGTGAATGCTTTGTGTAAATGAATATTATTTGTTTTAAAATCCGTCACATTAAAAACACAGATATTTCGATATTAATTATATTATAAAATTATAATTTTTATTTTCGGTAACAGTTAAATATTCAATACAATTATATTATTTCCCGTAATTTTACAATTTTAGTACGCAGGTCGAGAGTCAATTTAAAAATAAATGTATATAATTATCAAAAATAATTTCATTATAAAACAATCATTAACGCTGTTAGAATGAAGAAAATTGAACTTTTAATGGAATGTTTGTTAGCTATTGTTCTAGTTTTCAAGAAAATTATCGAAGAAATTCAAAAAACTACTTTAAAATTAGGTATATCTATTCTTGTTTTTGTAATCTGACTTAAAATTGTTAAACGGATCGTTTAAAGTTAACGACGAACGCTGTTCACTAATTTCCTTTCCAGTAAAATTAAGGCCGGTGATTAATACCATTTTCAAAATGAGTATTCTATTTTCCAACGAGACGTAGACTTTTCGTAACTTTCCATTGAGGAAGCACTACCAGCATCAACATTTTTTTTTAGCATCAAAATTTAGCATGAAATTAGTACTTGCAATATTAACGGTTCAACGGTTATTTTCAGTAAATTCGTATATATTATGTTATAATAATTGTAATTATTTTTGTAGCTAATAAAAAAAAAAGGTGCCTCTGATGTACATGATTTTAACTGAATAAGATAACAATTAGGCAATTTTTTTTTCAATCGAAAGAAAAATAATAAATAGTACGAATGTCAATGACAGTAACAATTTATTATTTAAAAATCAATCAATTTTTCATTGAAATAGGTTTTATTTATTTAAGCACTATTTAAGGTAATCCAATGTGGGTATTCGAGCTGTCGCACATTTTGCACAATACACAATAGCCAATAGCAGTATTTTTCATCGACCCATTTTCGTCAATATAAGTAGCGGCCCACCGAGAAAATCCCTATTCACCACTGTAATAAGTATAGGTACCCAAGTGCGTGTTTTTTTTTTTGTGAATTAGTACAAACGAATATTTAATAACAACGTTATTCATATAATTTTTTTTAAAATATTGTCGATTTCTTTGAACTATCTACAATTAGCTATAGTGTTTTCGATTGATTTTTTTTCGAATAACTATAAAAGAATTTTACTTTATTGTCGGTTTCGAAAAACTACGCATAACAATGAACAACTCATTTTTTCTGCTATGCACGTATTAATATGAAAATAAGAATCTATCTAAAAAAAAGTACATACAAAATTATTTTTTCAAATCCATTCACACATAAGTTTTTATGATCCTACAGCCCATCATAGTTGTTATTTTTTTACTCTTGGCTTTATAGATTATTATTCATGTACAGGATAGAAAAAAACCTCCACCAGGGTCATCGAACAAAAGAAAAACACTAGGCCGACGAAAACATTTCGTCGCTTGTCATATTTAAATTGTACACAGTAAATTCGGTTAAGTTGTTTTCTTATTATTTTAAAGTTTTTTAAATAACGCCATAAAATTCTTAAACGAACTTTTAACATATCGGTTTCAATATATAATAGAACTTGATTAACTATATGTTGAAGGGACCGACAAAATAATTCGAATTATCCAATTTTTGTTTTAATTTTATTCGTTTAAATACCGATATCACAAAACAATTATCTTAAAACTGTAAACATTAAAACGTAACAGAACACTTAAATGTATATTACGTATGCGTTAGTGAATAACGCGTCGTATTATCGAGTGGGGTAAAACAATTATCTAAACTGTATCAGTAAACATATTACTATAATATGAATACATTTTACTCTCGATAGTAAATAAATATACTCGTACGTATCTATGGGAACAACCCATGTATTACTGATATTGATAAAATTGTAACTTATTTATCCACGAAATATTCAAATTAAATGTGATTTTTATACATTGTTTAAATGAGAAATTCTAGGAATCTTGGAAAAAGTTCGAGGTATCAACGATTTCGAGTTAAACAAGTACGACTGTATTATAAAGTAAGAATGTATATTGTATTCGTACACGGAAATAACGATAAAATAAAATAATAACAATTTTAAAATATTTACAAAATCTCTATATTTATGTACATAAGCGGTTTTGTCCTAACTGACTGATAGATAATCAACATACAGTCTAAACAGTTACAGTTAGATCCACTAAAAATGTTTAAAAATTATTCCCCTAAAGGAGAGCTGACACAGAGTTTTTGGTAATTTTAAAGAAAAAATTGAATTTTATTTGTTGGTTTACTTGTAGGTTACTTTGTCGTCATGGATAATAATTTGATTGTCACAGGCAAGAAAACTCTCAATAATAAACACTATTATTATTTATACTATCACTATTATTTATTATATTATATTTTTATATAACAGGCAACAACGGTGATAGGGAAATGGATAGAAACAGAAAGTCATAGGGATCACATTTAAAAATAATAATAAAAGTTTTCGTTTAATAATAACCAAGCAAAGCAAGTTGTGCATGAAATGCTTCTATACGGCCAGCAGGGTAAAAAGAAGGTAATCTAAGGACCAACATGGGATATTTGTGGGAATGGCAATGGGAAACCACTAATTAAACTCAAACAATTGGTTCCCTGAAAGGTCGAAAAGCTTTGCGGTGCGAGGTTCCCGGTCGGTACTAATTTGGACTAAAATAGAAGTAAATAACTGTACAGAGATATAAACTGCACATGAACGAATTTTTTGACAAAGTCACAGGTAATACAGCTATAGATATTTTAATAATACTAATGTACATACTAAAAATTTGATCCTACAAAAAAAAAGTGGCTCAAGTAACGCCGGGCGGGTCAACTAGTAAAAAATTAAACGATTAATAATATTTTGCGATAACGAAAGATTGCTTTATAATTATTATTTGTCATATATAGGTATTGTACTGAATACACGTAGGCAGGACTGCAGTACCCATTTTCGTTATATAATAGGTGAAATCCCGTACAAGGTAATTTGAATTTAAATTCGGTAATTAAAACTTGATTAATTTTGAACGCTATATAAAGAAATTATAATGTAATCGTAAAGGTCATAAGTAAATTTATTTGTCAGCATACCTACATTATATTGTAGATAATAATAAAAAACCAATCTGTTTCCGACGACATAATAATAGTATACAAGCAGGTATACAGCCCGGCGTTGACCCATTCGGCAAACTGACAAAATCCCGCAGCAATAACTATTTTCCTAATAATACGATTTTACGGAGTCGAAAATACGAAAACGATTTTAGTGCCCTTTAATGTAAATGTTTGTCTACACCGGGGGCGCATCAATAGCCACTTCCCGGTTGCCTGCCAACATCAGAAAAGTCAATGACCCCTCTCCCCCATACACAGCTTTTATTAATACTGGTTTTCAGAACACTGTCCGTCCTATATACATACATACATACATACATACATACATACATACATACATAAAGGTTTGGTTGAATAACGCATTTCACCGCGTTTGAGTGGATACACGGCAATTGATTAAAATTTAAAATGCTCAGAAATCCACATGCGACGTTGCGTCATTGACGTGGCCACATTATAAGCATCATATTTGCTTTACCGAATAAACATATATTATAATATTTATGTATTTATACGTTTATATCCAAACACTTGATAGTTATAAATACAATACACGCAGTTACGCGAAAAATGCATATTCGATTATTTTATTGTACGCTCCATTTGGATAGCGTGGGATAAATTAAACAAAATCACAATATATAATATACAATATAATGAAAAAAATAGATGTATCCAATATTCAAATATTTGGCTCTTAACACTCAAACATGTACAATCAACCATTAGGTATTTAATATTTACTTATTTGTAATGGACAAATATTTTAGTCGGTAATTTTAAAAAAAAACACACGAATATTTTGCTTATCCATTTGTACAACTATAAACAATCATTGTTTATTGAATATTGAGCGATTATTGTTGTTATAACAATTGTGCATCAATTGAAAAAATTGAAAAATTATTTACGCGTTTTAATCGAATTGAAATTATAACTTCCCAGAAAACATTGTAACATTTAAATGTTATTTTTCAACGTTATTTTTATTTAAGTTAGTTATATTTGAAAATTGTACATTATTTCTATAAACTCTATTTGCGCTTTCAAATATTAGTCAAATGTTTGGCAAATGTCAAGAAAACAAGAGATCCTTTTTTGTTGAATTTTTAATCTGGTTGATGCCCAGGAAAGTAGTTTTTTTGATTTTCTTTGCAATATTTTTAATAATTGAGCATAATGGCAAAATAAACGTGATACGAACGAACCCTATTGGATTAGAGGTAAAAACCATAACGAGGCCGAGTTGTGGGCATAGGAAGTGCACTAACGTTGCGTCCAAATTATGTGTATACGGTATACAAATTATTAAAATACGACAATTCACCTTCCAGCAACATTAGTGTGCATTTACTTGTACTCGTGTTTTACTACAAGTCATTAGCCGACTTTATATTCACCTCCGAGCGTTGTCGGGTTGTTTAAAACGCGGACTTACCTGCATCCTACGTATGTACAATTTATATTATTATAATGTCGTATAATATTTTAGTATATTATTGCCATTACTACCTACAAGTAGTTTTATAGACCCCACGAAACCGTTTTACCCGGGCTGAAACGGCACCGGACAGGCGGCGGACAATAGGCGAAATGACCAACCCAGACGTCAAGTGAAGAATCAAACATTGGGTTAGACTGTGTAAATTATTTGTCCCCTTCCCAGAGACAGGAGCACAACTGTAATCGCGGTACTGACGGTAAAGTTAGAGGTATCTTCCGGTAGCCAGAGGCTAAAATGAAATATATACTAGTATATCCATATGTATGTAGATCAAAGTACACACCGATCAACCGCTACAATAAACTCTACACATGAGCAGCATCATATATAAACATAATATAATATTTATAACTATTATAATTCTCTTCTAAATAAAAAAAAAAAAGTGTTGTTTTTAACTAATAAACAAGAGAGATATCGGCGACGACGCATAGTGTCGATAAAGGTCAAATAAGTTTATATTTTTAGCAACAAAAGTTAAAATATCATTATGTTTCAATGGACGATATAAAATTAGTAAAATGTACAATGTAACAATCGTTGGTGATCACATCATTAATCACGAATAAAACCTGAATGAATATATCGGGTTAAATTAAATCCAAATTACTTACGTATTCACTCGGTATTGTAGATTGTAAATAGATACACAATTATTATCAACAATCACGTCTAGACTACATTCACTTTCGTATAATAATAATATAATATCCATTACGATTCCCATTTACTGTCATTTTGGGAATTCCGGGATTTTATTCTTCCGGCTGTCGTTTATAAGAACAGTACAATAAAAACAATAATACGATACCGAGTTTTTAAATGGCATTGCTGCTGTATTTGAGTAGGTATTAAATTACTTTTTAAACACTTTTATGTCTGAAAAACATACTTCGAAACAACGTCGACAAAGTTCTTTGAAAATCTAATTTTATAATTTGATAACAAAAACACAATGTATTTCCAAATACTTAAATATATACGATTATAAAAGACATTTGTAATATTATCAGTTAATACGACAAGTGAAATATTCTTAATAACGATGACGAAATGTTATTCTACTCTACTTTATTACCTAATTTAAAAATACCCGTATATATTTAACTAAGCTTTTATTCGGACACTCAGCAATTCATGGAGTCAAATAACTGTTATTCGTTTTCCCGAGGGACAACACTTTGATCCTTCTCGTTTTCAAACGGTATAGGTGAATGAATTTATTATGATTTTGTACACACTACTCGCACTTAACATTACTCGGAACAAATTTAATTAAAATATGGTTAGAAAGATTTTAAAAATAAAAAAAAGGAAAAAAGAAAGGCCATTTGATAATCTACAGTATTATAAATGTTATGAATTTAATTATTTATTCGTCACAATTACGATAGTGAACCTTGTTGGATAAATAAAATACAGTCCTAGAGCGTCTTCCAATATGTCAAGCGTAGCACTTTTTCTAAAAAAAAATATTCTATCTAGTTAGAACTTTAGGGAGGTACTTTTTTTGATTTTCCAAGCGGTTTTCATAATAATTGTGGAAAACCAAGAACAACGTAGAAATGAACAGACAAATATTTACAACGTAACGATTTCATGATTTTAGACTTTTGTAACTTATATTTTTTCTTCTAGTAGTGGTTTCTAATTAGTGGTCCGCGTACCCCCAAGGGACCTTGGTTGATGTTAAGGGGTCTACAGTTGTATAGTGATTGATCACTCGAATAAGACTACAAACATAGGTAACGAAAGATGGACACGTTCTAAAATTGAAAACTTCTCGTGTCCTAGAAAACCAACAATAAGGCAACTTGTGCTCTCTTATATCAAATATCACAGTTTATCTTTATTTAGTTTTAATGGATTATTTTCATTTGTGTATTCAAGAATGTTTAAGAACACTACCACGAATATCCCCGAACACCTATTTATCGTTTAACGTTTAATTGTGAACATATATAAAGCAATTTATGAACATTAGTTAGTAAAAATAGTTATAACTCATCAGCGGTTAATGCAGTCTGACCGTTATTAAATTATAAGATTTTGAAAGTTATAATCATAAACGAATAACCATAATATATCATTAGTTAAATTGATTGAAATTATCGACATTTTAATTTTTCGAATTTTTTACGTAATTTTTTATATGGTAAGTATTCTGTGAATAAAATTATTATACTAAACAGAAATACTTAACAATTTGATAGGAGGTTCATTATTATAAGTCGTACATATTGGGAACAAAAATTGAGTGTAATGTAGGTTTTTTTTCTTTAAGTGTTTTAAAATCAAATTTTGAAGAAAAAAAATCGTAAATATTGAGGCCCAAATTCAAAACGTGTATAATCGAACTTCATCCTGAATATTTTTCGTAAATAATAATTTATCGTTGCTTATAAAATAAATAAGTTTATGTATTCCATTTTCCCAACCGCCCACCTACAACAGTGGCCGCTCCCATCTCCAGTATCACCTCTTTTTTCTAAACCGATTATTTATTATATTTTTGAATTTCTATATTTACAAAATATGTAATAAATAATTTTTAAATGCATTTTTGGATTTTAAATCCAGAATTTTGCCATCACTAGTTACACAGTAGTGTTCACTAATAATTTTTATATATTGTAAACATGATAAAATGCATGGCTCGTGAAGAAAACATAATATCATAGACTAACAGTACAGAGTAATAATACTTATAATGGCAATCGTCAGTGGCGTGGTAATTCGACGACCAGCAATATTTTATTTTCAACAATACGATAACAAAATATACAATTTAATCTTAGATGCGATTCCTATTCAAAACTACGTGGGTGGTTACGGACGTTTGTTTACAGCAGTCGTTTAGATCTTATTACTATCTAGACTTTAATAGACGAGAGTAATGCGCATTGACAGGGTTCTCTACGTCCCACAGAAAGTAATATTTCTGTTTATTTAGATTTTATATTATACTATAATAAGACGGGACATATCTATAAAATGCACTTTTTTTTTCAAATAATATCTCAAATTGCCGCGGTAGAATTTAATAATTCTGGGAAATAAAAATTAAATGGCAATGATTGAAAAAGATAGAACCTATAGATATAGTATTAACATTATAATACGGAATGAAAATGGCGGAATTCAAGAATATTTACTTTGCGCAAATGGTGTTGGATGAGATATATATTAATTGATGGTGGACACGGCGCGCGGCGAGGAGAACGCAAATCGAGAAAAGAATCTTGAAACGCTCGAGCAAAGAATAATATAAGAGCATTATTATCTAAGAAAATATTACGCGAGCGTAGAAAGGTTTATTGTTAGCCGGTTTATTTACTATACATATAGTGACATTGGAAGCGCACACGACTGTTGTGTTTGGGTACATTACACGACGAAATAGTGCTTTTCGAAACGTTATGTATTTTTGTAAGTTTTTCGAAATTTTGTTCAGCACAAATCATTTCGATGGCATTATACACACGTGCACTGCATCAGAAGAGAAGTTCGTTGAACCGGGACGAGTTCAAGCGGGACGTGATTTCGCCGATAATATATGTGCATGTGTATGTACTTAATTTGATAATATGAGATGAACGTTACACTGTGCATCATACGTAAATTGCAATAATAAACGCGTACCCCATATATTATACTATATGAACTGACTAATAAACGAAAAACATGCAATAAATTATTTTTTCAAATGTAATATGCGAACTGCATAAGTACATAACAGCCGCCATTATATAGTCGTGTGAAAAACGTACTTCTCTATAATACACTGTACAAAGGGCCAAACGGCCCCGGAAAATGCGTGAATTTTCAATGTTCTCGAAATTTGTGTAACTGTATCTCATTTAATTTGTAGCTTTTATTTTTTGGTTCAAACCGCATACTTATATAGTGTAAATGTATATTCTAACACAAATTTCACTGAAAATTAAAATATATTAAGTCACTATGATAAACTTTTTGTTTGAAAACAAGGTACAAGTCATTTAATTACGTGTACAAGGCTTAAGCATATGTTATAACACGTGTTCGCAATGTTATTGTAATTTAGATTAGGCCGTTTATTAATTTAGCTATTAACAGTAATTTGCTAATTGGCATAATTATTATGTCATTATATTATCATTCAGCATTTTTGAAATTGTATTTGATTGTATTGAAAGCTATACAAAATTGACTTAAGATCTTGTCTCTGGATCCAAATTGTTTGAGTTATTTATATCATTTATTAGAAAAAGTTAAATTTTGTTTAGGTTATTTTTTTTTATTGTTTTATTTTATATGGATAAAATTAATCGATTAGCTTCTAAAAATTCTTGAAAATTACATTCCAGTTATTTTTATAATAAAATTGTTCTTTATCGGTACTGATTTTCAATCAGGTCTTGGACATGCATTTTAAGCCAGTAGCCACAGAGATTCCTCCGGGCGTTTCTTAGGGCCATAGTTGAAACCACTTTGCTTCCGACTTGAACAATCATTATTTCATAGTTTTATCTTACACTTGCCAGATTTGACAGAACATTGTTAGATACTTGCACGCGTCTGTTAAATTTCTCGGTACATTTGTAGAAAAACATAAACATAAATAAATAAGTAAATAAATCTATGCAATCAAGCCTTTATGACAATTTTTGTTTACTTTACACTGAACGTGTGCACATAAATTATGTACATAACAACTGTAAATAAAAATACGCGTCGTCTCGGCTACAGGAGTCGCCTCTTACACGTTCAATAGATTGGTACTATAGTCGGTAAAATTATTTAAATTTTAACGCATAAAAAGTTCAAAAATGTCCGTACGACCAACGCGACTTTCATAGAAAATAAACATACGTTTATTCCTTTACCATTTCCTCTTTACTCCTTTCTTTCTGTCACTTCATCGTGGCATATAAATTAGATTATATTGAACGTCTGACAATAATAGGTGTAATAATTATTATGTATACGTCCGTTTTATTATAAAGGATAATTGTACATTTTCATAGCGCAATAACCCCGTTTCATACAATCGTGATTTCGATTCGCATTTATGTGTATTATAATGAACTCTTATCAATTTTTATTTTTTTCCTAGATTATTTTCAAACATTATATTATGTTAACTTTATTATCGATATGATCGTATTTACTTCCGTATCGCATCGTTCTTCAGTCAGAATATAATGTTATACTTATATTACGTTCGTTAAGAGTTATTGTTATCCAAAGTATACGAATATATCATATACTTTAACTTTTTGTTATTCGAATTTAAATATAACAATATTACGGAATTTATGTCAGATCGATTTATTTCACACTACACGACGACGCCGAGCGATTCTTCGCCAATTATTATAAAACCGTATGTATTTTGCTACTTTGTTTTTACAAAACTTTATCTCAGTTATATATAGTTATGTTAAGGATTTATATTTAGTATATATATATATGCGAATCCGACTCGTATAATGTTATGGTACAAATAATATAATATTGTTATCATTTGTTGTTCGAAAGGGGATAGCGACGGTAAGACGGGCGCGCGTGTTAGTTCATCGGCCATTTGCCAATAAACGATTCCCTTGGCGAACTCGTTTTTTTACATACACACCGACATGGTATCACAATCGGTTTTGTTTTATCGAAATAATGTATATACCCCCGTAATTCATAATACATAGTCATTTTATCGGTACTATACTACAGTTATAATATTATAGCGTTATCTCAATGCGCCGCGACAGAACGAAAATAATCTGTCAGTATTGAAACAGGAATAGCTATATAATAAAACTCATCGTATGCATTATTATATGACGGTAAGAAATTCAAAATATTAACACAAAGTGTTCGAGATAAAAATGATATTGTCATCGTGACAATGTGACATATACAAGACGACGCTCGTTTCGTATGCAGTGTATACGGTCGCCCACGAAAAACACGTCTCGTGAGAAATACCGCGCAGTATTCGTGATATTTTAACATCATTGCGAATTCCGATCATAATATTATAATATATACCGGTACAATACAATGGGTAAGAAGTATTCGATCTAATGTAGTATTTTCCAAATCTACCAAACTATAAAATTAAACGATCTTAAGTTGCGGTTGAAACAACAAAATTTTGATAAATTTTCATAATAATCAAACCGGACGTTTTATTTTACGCACAGCAACTGTTAATTCGTGAACACCCTTAAATCGGTATGTTTTTTTTTTCTTTTGTACTTATACAACTCATAATTTCAACCCATTAAAATATAGATTTATTTTACAAAATTAATTTTTGTAGACGTAATACAATTTTCAAAACATTCTAGCTATTTTTAGGCTATTTATAGGTATTTGATATTGTCGATATTTTCGACTTAAGAAAAATGCTCGATAATTTAACACAAGGTACACTAAAATGTATACGTAGTCAAATTGCAGTTCAATGTATTAGTTTCTTTTCATAGGTGTTTTTTTTTTTAATTGCCATTCAGCATCTTTATTTAAACGACAAGAAGTCTTCGTAAATTTCGTAAATTTTCTCGGTTTTTTTTCGGTTTTTCACATTTGATGAGAAAACTTCAGAAAATCGATGAATGACCTACCCACACCGATTTCCTTTCTAAAAAGTTGCTACACGTAAAAGTCGAAATAAGTCTTCTGGTAGAAAAGTTATCCATAGAAAAAAATAATAATAAACGTCTTTGTAAAACCATAAGCTTCTTTGCTTCACTTGGAATCTAAAAAATAATATGATCAATTTCACGCAATTATATTACTTTAAATATAGTTATTATACCACACTTTAGCTAATATAATGGATTTTCATACACTAAAAATCATTTTTTAAAGATAAAACAACAAGTCAAGAGTTCAATATTTATGGTTAAGAGTTCTGTAAAGAATAAGTTAATTACTTAGGGAATAATTTTACCACGGACTGATTACTATTGTTATATACATAGAACAAGACAAACTGCCATGTCATTTCGAATTTCATATGATTTCATTTTTTCATTATTATTAATTAAATTAATAATAATAATAATCAACTACACGGATATCGTATTGACGTAATTAAATTTTGTTATTATGGAAAAAAATTACCGACTAAATACTGAATCTTTGGTATCATACTATATTTATAATATAATAATATTAAAAATAAAAAAAATAAAAAAAAAAATGTATCTACGACTTAATTACAATAAAAAAATAAAAACTGAAAATAATAAACATTTAAAAATAAACGTTGAAAATATTGTTAAAAATAAAAATGTTAAATAATAAAATTGTAAATGAATTCCTTTTCATTGTTCCTCTTCTCCGGTTTTTTCCAATTATTATGAAAACTGCATAAAAAATCGGAAAATACTTACACACCAAGTATATTAAATTTCAACAAAAAGGGTCTCTTGTAGTTTTTCTATTGGAGTAAGATTTCAAATAGAAAACATAGTGGGTAAAAAGTTTGAAAAAAATTACATCCACAAACGCATCTAAAATTAATTGATATGCACGATAAAAAAACAAATGTTCATACTTCACACAATGGATAGGTCACTGTTGCAGGTGAGAAATTGGGAAGATAGAAGGGAAATTCAACGTATATATGTACACAAAGATCTGAGCGAATATCGGTTGTACATATTTTGAAAGGCAATAATATTTATGATTTTTCCCGTTTTTCCTAAGTTTTTCCCAATTAATATAAAAATTCCTTAGGAAATCAAAAATAAGCAAAATAATTAATCGTTGTTTCCGTAAACTGTCCAATTCTTTCTACATTTTTCTTAGGTTTTACTCAATAATTAAGAATACTACACGAAAAATCAAAGACAGCTTTTTTACTCATTAACTAGATCCGAAATGATACAAAAGAGGCTCTTAACATATTTGATTAAAGAAATATTTCTGGTAAAACCAGAGCATAAAAATTAAAAATAATGATATCGCTAACTCCGAAAATATTTATAGATTTTCTTATAATTTTATTTCTGGTTTTTCTCAATTACCTATATTTAAAACTTCTTGTAAAATAAAAAACTACTTCTCTAATTCACAACCAGATCCAAAATGAAATTAAAAAGGCTCATTTTCCGATTTAAGTTAGTTTTCTGTTTGAAAATACGTTTACATACAAAAAAAATAGCTAATACGGCTGATGAATGTGCCACTGTTGTAGGTGGGAAATTGGAATGGTAGGATATATTAGGTTATTTAATTTTGTAAGCAACTCTAAACCATTGCTAACGAAACACGGTTCTGAGTGAAGTTCGTTTATACACGATTTATAAGACAGTGATACTTGTGACTTAATTCAAAATTTTTTCTTAAAACATTTATAAAAAAATATTTTTAACAAAATTTATTTTTTAACCACTTTATAGTTTTATACATTGTATATATTCTATGTGTAATATATTATACATGTAACATATAAAAAATTGTATACACGTACCTATATTACCAACCCTGCTTACTTCCTTTCAATTAATAAAATCACATCATAGTAAAACCAATAAATCTCTCTCTCCCCCTTCATATTCCAAACACATATCATTATAGTAGAACCAATAGATCCATCGCTACGCTCGGAATTTAAAATAACATAAATCTTCAGCCATGGCACTTATCAATATTTTTACTGCCAGTTTCTGTAACTACAAAATACCTTTTTTGGAGAAGAGGGAATGGCATCAAAAATGTGATTCTATGCCAGTACCTCAATTGATTTGGTGAAAAATATTTTTTTTAATCTTCAAAATTAATTGCATAAGTAATAAAATATATATTTTACTCTTTAATTAAATAAAAAAAATATAATTTCATTAAAATTTTAATGACGTACCGTCAACTTAATGAACTATAATAATGTCTACTAGTTTCTTATTACGTGGTTGTATTTCCCAATAGTCAGATAGAAATAAATTATAGTCATAACTTAAAATGTTTATTAATAAAACGAATTCATTACACAAAAAAACAATTTCAAAAGTTTGATCTATGGTAATAATAATTTTTAGATAAGGACAATTGATTATTGAGTACATACTATTTCATAATGACCACTATAACTACACAGTAGATATTTCTTAATATATTCACATAATTTACATTAAATTTGAACATTGAAATTTATTATTGCATTTCAAACTTTATAATTTTCAAGTTTTATTATTTTTTTAAATATTTTATTATTTATTATTTTACATATATATAATTAAATAATCGCATTTTTTTAAATGATATCCAAAACTCTTAAAAATAATATTAATTTATTATTATTAATTATTATTAATAATAATTTTTCTATTTCATCTCTAACCCATATATCGCAGCCACATAAAGCGACCATCCATATAAAGACTTTTACGAAGTTATTTATTTTTTTTTCTTGATGAAAACTATGTTATCTTGTCCGATCCTTCGCTTAATTTTGTATGAACGTCTTCCATAAGCTGTTATTAAACTACCCAATTTAAAATTAGAAACTTGGGCTATTTGTTGGTTTTCTAAGTAGATATCTGTGTTGATTGTTGATTGTAGTTATGCGAACACAAAATAAAATGTTTGTTTTCCTTGAGTTAATACACATTTTATAATCGTTTATATCCTTTTGCATTTCAACCAGAATTCTCTGAAGACCGTACTCGGTTCCTGCTAATAGTACGATGGCACCTGTGAAACGGATCATTGAACTCAATATACCATCCACTTTGATTCTAATTTCTAGTCCGTTAAGTTTGTCTTTAATTAACTTCCAATATACTTTTTTCCGTGTAGCAGTTAATAAATAACGGTGAAAGTGGGCACCCTTGTTTTATACCTGTACGTACTCTTGCATTAGCTGACACATTATTTATTGTAACTTCTGCATTTTAAATTTTATAGAAGTATTTATACATAATTAGTCTATCTTTAAAAGCTAAATCCAAATCCCTTATTATTTAAAACATAATTTCCCAGTCAACATTATCGAAAGTTTTTTTAATGTCAATAAATGCTAAATATGTTTCTTTATTTCATAAAGTTTGTTTTTTTTTCATTAAGACTAATAGTGTATCTCTAGTTCTCTTTTGTTTTTAAATCCATATTGATCATTTCCAAGATATTTGTTGGCTTTATTAAATATTTTTCGATAAAAAAATTTTAGATTCTAAGCGGAGCGAGGGATGTATTTTACAATGATTTTTATTCTTTTTTTATTTTTTATTTTTTTTGTTTTATGTCAGCACTTTTTCTACCAGAAAGCTTACTTCGACTATCAAGTACATCACTTCTGGAAAATTAAATCGGTGATGCAATAAAAATGTGTCGAGCCACCACTGCCAAGAAGTAAAATAAAATAACAAAATATATTATGTATGAATATTTGTATACAAAATATAATTAAGTTAAGTAAAAGGCGAATGAATATTGAAACATCGCTGGTGGATGAGAGGTGAGTGAAATAGACCACCAGTACATAAAACATGCGATTACCCTAATTACACTAACACTGGTTTAATAACGAAATAGATAATGTATACTATTTGATATTAAACTCTAAACAAAGCAAAAGATTTTTTTGTTTTACTATAATATGTGTGTTTTAGATTCAAAACGTAGCAAGGGTTCTACTGGTTTAACTATTAATTCTAATGTAGCACCTTTATTGAAAGAAAGTTTTATCTAGTTGGTGTATTGGAGAGGTCATTTTTTTTGTATGTTGAAATGTAACTCAGAGCGCTGTTTATGCAATATTAATACAAGCGTGTGCAGCAGTCCCAAAAATTTAATATTTAATATTACGCTCGATAATATTAAGTTATTGTTATTTTTCAATAATATTAATCATATATTTTCTATAAATTATTAACTATTAATTACCTGGCTATATTAATTAATATTGATTAATACTATAACATTCAATAAACCTTTTACAAATGTATTTGCTATAAATATTATACACCCGGTATATATAATGGAAACATACGATGTTTATTTTTATTATTCTGTATGCATCAGACGAATGCGATATATGCGGTAAGTACTCTGTGGTAAAATTGTTAGACTAACAAAAATGCTTAAAAATTTAATAAAAAATTCATTAAAAGTCGTATTTAGTGGTCAAAAAATAAAATTTGAACTTAATGAAGAAATTTTTTTTAAAAGGAATTTTAATACCAAATATTGACGAAAATCGTTTGAGTAAAAATCAGACAAATACGGTGTTATCACACTAGAATAATACCCAAAATGTTATACTATACATTACGAGAAATTAGTTCAATCAATTGATAGTAAATCAGTAAATAAATTAGTGTACATTCTTATAAATCGGTTCATTTAATGAATATACAATTAATTTAAATAAAACATAAAAGAGTTTCAAAATAAAGTAGATAGTTGATAGCTTTTGTTGATAGCTATAGTTGACAATAGCTGATTAATTATAGTTACAACAAATTTACGAGTATACTATGATTTCTGTATGTTTTTTTTTTTTAAATACCAGTTAAGTTTACATTTTTAAAAACCGTATATTATATTTTAAACCCATTCATCAATACAACGTTTTTGATGCGTCATTAAGTATCTATTTATAAAAACGTGTTGTTATATTATGTAATCAATATCGAATTAAATTGATACGTCTGATAACAAATGACAGTAATTGCACGATTAGTATTGTGACATTTTGGTCCAGAAAAAAATGATTATGCATTAAATACTTTTTTTTTCATAAATTCTGAATAAACAATAATAAGTTTTTCAAAATTATTTGTTTATATTATAATTATTCATAATTTATAGACAGGAAACGTGTTTAAAATATATGACACTGAGTAATATCAAAAAATTACTAACTCTATGAAACATTTTCGGTTTAGTGCACTTTCATAGTGTATATAAAAAAAAAATCAATATATACACAGTGATCCATTTATAATGAAACAGCTATTGGATGGGAAATTGGGAAGGTAGGACAGATAGGAGGTGAATTTAATATATATCTGAAAACAAAGATTAGTCACTGCCAACGGAAAACGATTCTGAGCGAAGCTCGGTTAATAGTATTTCTTCTTCAACAATATATATGTTAATATGTTATATTATAATAAAATAAGTATATAGGGTATCTTACAGTGTTGTCCATTAGTTAATAACTGTAAATATTCATTTTTTTTTTTCTATTTGGATTTTTTCAGAGGACACATATGTAGAGAGGTTGTATCCTTTTATCACTAAAAAAAATTACTTTTTAATTTATCACTTTTAAATTTTCAAAATAGCCATTTTGTATAAATTTATTATTTTAAAACTTTTATTGTATCATACATTCATATCTGATTAATAGTTTCTTAACTATATTTTCTTTAATTTATAGAAAATAGACGTGAAAACAATTATATTCAATAGACAATTTTAATTTCCATACTGAATGCAATTCCTTATCGCAGAAAATTATTTCTATTGAAAATAAATTGTTTTCACGCCAAATTTCTAGAAATGAAAATGGCTATTATTACTAAGAAACTAATAATCGGATATGAATGTATAAAATAACAATAACTTAATATTATCGAGCGTAATATTGACCAATGATTTTTGGTACTGCCACACACGCTTGTATTAATATTGCATAAACAGCGCTCCGTGTTACATTTCAACATACATAGGTACATTTTTAAAATTGTATGATAACTGAAATATGATTGCTTTAGTTAACACTTTAACATAAGGACTATCGAGAAAGTGATTATTATCATATTAATATCAGTGCTCCATAAAAATATAATTTGAGGTGGTTTTTCACCATCCAAATGTAGTTTGGAAAACTGAACTATTGCAGTGTAGAGTGTAACGGTCTTTCGGGAAAACCAATTTATAACACACTTTAGGCAGTAATGAAACTATCGGGAAGATTTGGAGTGTCGATCACTGAGGTCCCCAATATGTGTTTACTTAACGAGCACCGACAACACCAACAATAGGCTTATTTCCCTATTTGATTATTCATATTATTCAAAAAAAAAAAAAAAACAATACATTACGGTGTAATAGTAATGAAATAAAATAATTTAAAACACAAATTAAAAAAAAAACGAATTTTAAAAACTATAAATAGCGTGCAGTGAATTTACTAATATTATTGTGGTTGTGCGTCGACCATACTCCTAACTTAAAAGTTTAGATTAGTGTATAAAACAAGACGGACACACGTTTTTGACACATTTATACGATTGTTTCATAATTCGATCATTTATGTACAGTTTGTTTATAATAAAATAATGAAACAGCTTTGTATGTACAATATTTTACAGGTGGAGGGATTGAAAATAATGCTGTGCTATTTACATTCTCTAAACTTATTTTATAAAAATTAAACAGATATAATTTGTTAAAAGTGGAGTTGAGATTTAATATTTCTATGAAGCACAATGAAATAACACAAAACAACTGTATAAGTAACAGTAAGGTATATTGAAAAAACTCAGTGAATCATATTGAAGATTATTTTACAAAGTGAAATTAGGCATTATTTGTACAGAGTACTCTAAAATAATGTAAATATAATATAGACTATGGCTCAGATTTAGATTGTTCGCTTAACCCTAATTTCGGTCAATCGGGCCCTGGTAGGCAATTTAAATTTAGAATATAGAGGCGGCAAATTTCGGTCCATGTAATGCCGTACCGCGGATAGCGTACGTCAAACAGGCGAGAAACGGCGGCGGCGGCGGCGGCGGTGGCACGCGTCTCCCACAAAGCTCCGCCTACCGACCAATGGATAAATTTGATCGGGTGACGCGACGAGACACGACGGACGATGCCGCCGCCGGTGGTCGTAAGTTATCCTGCGAAATCGGTGCTGTTTATTATTATTTTATCACCTGCGTATTAACCGCGGTTATTCCGAGCTTTCGCTATCTGTTGAATCGGCCGCGAAGGTGGGCGTAACAACGGAGCGCATTGATAATAGAAGTTAATGACGATAAATGTGCGGTGTGGTTGACATCACACCATATAGGCTCATACAACTGTTGCACGGCCCTTGGTGACATCGGGATTGTCCGTTATACCAGCGGTGAAATTATACGATCTCACATTATTATCGGAAAAAAATGCCTCTTAATAGAAATATATAAAATTATAATAAACATAGTACACGAATCATTTACGACGGGGCAAAGGATGGATGAGGTTAGGTTAGGTTTGGTGATAGGTGTGTGTGGGATTTTCAAGTTGCCGGGACTTGAACCCACTGACGGTTTCGTGGAGGAGGAAAGTGGAAAAGGCGGGGGTTGTCAATGGATGAATCGTCGTCCCCCCCCTGCCCAGTTTTCCGCCAAATTAACTGTCAATATATTGAATGTACACATAGGTATACATAAATATATCGAATTGCCTATGTATTTTTGAAAGCGGTTGTATAAACATCGTCGCGGGGATTAGCTCGCGTTTGTTCAGGTTAGAACGACGATGTGACTTCGATGGGAGAGGATAAATAATATTACTGACGATGACTCACCTAGTTGTTTGCTATGTCGGTGTGCGACGGTGTAATGCAATACTTGTGTCGCGAAAGACGACTGGAAAAACACGATGGCAACGGTGGTGACGTCGACGGCTGTTCGGCGCGTGGCGTTGCACTGACTGCGTGTACTTGCGTTGTCGTTCCCTCGCGCGGTACACGGTACTGAACGATCCGGTCTGGCGCGACACCCACGCCGCCGGTTTTTCCATCGCGCCGCCTGTTGGCGAGACGAAACTACGTTATATAGTAATACGGGGGCGCCGAAACAACGTGGAGCGATGGGGACGGCATTCCCGCACAGTAAACATTTCTCAAGAGATCTCCTTCGTTGCTAAAATATATATCACGGGTTTCAATAGTCTCCAGAAAGTAACGAACGGTTAGTAATTTAAATAAAATGATGTGTAAAAATAAAACTCGGAACGCTATCAATTTATCGCCAAACAGTTTCGAAATGAAACGAAAAAAAAGTCTCTGGTTTGATACAAAGTTCATCAAAGATAAATATAAAGATAAAATAACATAAAATCTCGTGGTTTGGAAAAATATAGGTACCTCAATAATACAAACACCGAAGAATCGTCCGGCGGCGTGCAAATGTAATATATTTCGACAATAATTTTGGAAATAAGCTGTCCGTTCTCATAATATAACTGATTATATCGTTATATAGTCCGTATTATAGATTCCATGCACTATTTGTTTTTTCCATTTACGATAATATTATTGTAATATCAACACTTATATATTGTAATTTTTCTAAAAGGAAATTCGACTGGGGAGGTACACTAGGGAGTTTATTTTTCGATTTTCCCAATAGTTTTTCCAGCAAATATGAATAACCGGGAAAAAATATGGTAAAATCGGTTGAACATTAAACGAATATTATTAAAGAAAATATATAAAGCTTAATTAATTATTTTACTTTAATATGACATATATATTGTTGACAAACCATAACTATCAACTGAACTGCGATCAGAATCGTTTTTTCGTTAGCAATGGTTTATAGTTGCTTGCAGGTATACATTAAATTAACTATATCAGTGACTGCACCCGTCCCCATTATCCTAGGACGTATTTTTAATAATAACTTTTATACCAAAGGTAATATATATAAAGGTACAGGTATACAAATTTTAATTTGTAATAAATTACAATTTTTATTAACTCTTAAAAATTAAAAATTGAATGAACTATATCTGATTACTCAATTTATCTACTTAACATAAATATGAATAATGAAAACAATAATGCTCGAGAGGTCAGGTTGGTCGAGTTGGGCCTCTAAAAAAAAATCCTGCCTAGGCCCTTCGATGACCAGGCCGACACTGCCTTTAATGAATGATTTTTTAGACAAATGACGAACACATTATCTATATATTATGATATTTTATGGAATACCTATTAGGTTTGTTTAAGTTGTTATAAAGCTATATAATAAATAATATTGAATTTTATGATATTTGTACATCAAATGCCTTATGTTTTAATATTTTATAATATAGGTATAAAATAAGGTACCTACCTGTATATTACTATATAGTAGTTTTTTTAAATAAAAATGTGATACTTTTTTTTCATTTGTAAATACCACATAATAAAACTATCTCACTATTTCTTTCGATGAGACGCATTAAGTACTTATGGATACGGTGTAAGAAAAAATGTACATACCTAAGTACTAATTTATTGATTTTTTTTTTGAAAATACGTCACATTTTTAAATAATTACACTCGTTATTGTTACCCACAAAATAAAAAACACTTGAATGTATTAGATCTGAGAGGAAATATAAAAAATAGGTACCTCCATAATACAGAATGGCGGAGCAAAAAATACCACATTTTTTTAAATTGATACTATAATTTTAATTTTTAAGGTAGAAAGATGAAAAAAAAAACAAATTTTTACAAATTTAGGGAACTTTTGTGAAGTATGAAAAAAAATGATATGTGTGACACAAAATGTCCGACAGATGGCATCCGTGCATGGCGGTGCATTCTTAGAGGCGCTAAGTAAGGATTCTTATTATTTTCTTCAAAATTTCCACTGGAATTAATAAAATTTCACTTCTAATTGCCTCCTATAAATCGAGAAAGGTTTGTGGTTTATTAACATAAACTTTTAACTACAGATGCCCACACAGGAAGATCGTAGGGAGTAAGATCGGGTGAGCAAGGTGGCTGTGAAACGTCATCATTTCGAGAGACCTGACGTCTGGAAAAAGTTGAATGGGTGCATCTCATCCGTTCAATTTTTCCACTGTTGAGAATATCAATGGATCTCATTTAAATCCGCACTAAGTATGCACAGCACCATCTTGTAGGAACCAGATGTTTTTTGTGTGCATTTCGTTTTCCTCTATACAAGAAATGAAAAAACCTTAGAGCCTAGTCACGTGACGCTCAGAAGTCACTTCCTGTCATAATTAATTTTCAAAAACATAAGGCCCAATTATTCTAACTATGGAACACGTCTAGAAATCTTTAGGGCCACGTTACCATGTTCCCAAAAATCCTTAACACGCTTTAAAATTGATCGGAATGACTGCACGCAAAGGTCGGAGACCGAACTACGTGCGGAATGCACGTCTTGTAGCCACGATTAAGTCATTTTTACGGAAAAACGTCTCCACGGTGAACGCATGGTGTTGAACACTCCAAAGCACCATTACACCTAAACGTCCTATCATGTTCTATACAATGAGAGGTTCGAAAATATTGTGCGATATCCCTTCCCAAAGCTACGTTTATTTCAAATATGATTTTTTTTGCTCCACCACTATGTACCACTATTAACTGACTTTTTTCGTGCACTTCAACCGTTGTACTCGCGTTGAATTCCTGTTCTTACTATTGAATTTAAGAAGAACATTTTAATAAACGGGCTAACACCCACTACCACGAACTAAAATTTGTTTTTTTTTTTATAATAATTTTTATCCTCTTTCTTTGTGGTGTAACAGGAAAATAATATTTTTAAATTGTGTAAACAGTCACTTCTTCTTGATGTGTAAATTGAATACAAAAAGAGAAAAAACTATTTAGTATTCTGGAATAAAGTACCAAAAAAAAATTATTTTTAAAATATTTAAAATACACTTGTCAAGAAATATTTGAAATGATTAAAAATTATGGCAAAAGATATACATGGATTTATTTCTCCTATGCGGTCACCCTACTGCATTGAGATAGGCTTATGTTATCAGTAAATGGAGAAGTTCACCATCTGGTTCCATATAGTCTGTGGCAATATGGCTTAAATTATGGAAGTTTTCTATATTTTTTTTGTTGTAAAAGTGCAGTTAAAATGATACACCTCTGAAGATGAATTACGCTATATTTATTAATTCATATAAATACATAATATAATAGCATAAAATAGTTATTTATGATATTATTCATGAATATATAATATAGGTACCTACCTGGTATGTGTCAATAGATAAACTATTGCTTGAACAATTTGATATGATTATTATTAGGAGGTAGTACTCGTAATTACCTTTAAGTATAATAATAATAATAATCTTGTTAAAAATATAATTACATTATTATACATTTTATTATAGTCTAGAATTTTTTTTAAAAGGTTTTTCATTTTTTTTTTTTGGTCTAACTTAGTTATATTTTCTACAGGCCAAATTCATTCTACTATTTAAATAAATAAATTGCAGAATGTATGAAATAAGTTCATATTCATGATCCGCACGGTCAACTCAATACCCGAACCCGATATCTTGAAAGATTAATCCATCTACCTATAACTATACATTTAATTTTAAATACTAGAATGATTTTTGCCTGTAGAAAATATAATAAGTAATAACCAAGTGTCAAATCAAAAAATTAAAAACTTTTTAAAAACAAATTTTAGGCTATAATACAATTAAATTATTAACAAAGGTATTATTATTACCTATTAACAAAAGTAATTACGAATACTACCTAATAATAAACGTATCAAATTGTTCAAGCAAAAGTTACCTATTGACACATAGGTATATTAGATTATACATGAATAATATTATAAATAACTATTTTATACTATTATAGTATGTATTTATAAATACAACATGATTTTTTTTCAAAGGTGTATCATTTTAAATGCACTTTAACAACAAAATAAATAGAAGACTTCCATAATTTTAGTCATATTACCATTAAAATACATACAAATAATATTCCTGGTCCTCTATCGGGTAGACGGCGAACCTAGCGGCAATTTCAACTGCAGTAATGTTTTCAATCAACTGATAAGCCAAGTGTTACCCAAGGTACATCTTAGTTCGCGGTTTACGTCAAGGTGGACTAATACGATAAGATGTAATCACTTTCATCCGCGCGCCTAAGATAAATTGATTGAAAATATTGCACGTTTCTTGTCTATTAGCATTAATTATAGAACAGACTGTTCTATAATCAATGCGCTATTAGTGTAAGGTCTATGGTATTTTGGCGGGTTTCGCCAAAACACGAGGTTTAATGATAAAGTAAAAAGAAACGTTTGTTTACGACATAACAACATTAAACGAGCGCTCGTCAGCTGACTGCCGGTGGCGCGAGGAACAGGCGAGCGCACGCGTTTATTAAAACAACACAAGCTAAGAAAGACAATTGTACATAACGATGGTTCGGAGTCGGAAACAACGCTTCGCGTACGGCGTCGGTGCGAAGCGAGCGAGCGAAGCGGTCGAGTAGCCGAGTCGAGCGGAGCCGTGTGATGACTGTTGAACGCCGACGGCGAGGGGAGAGGCCGACGTCCGACGTCGGGAAGAAATGTGGCGCGAAACCCGCCGCAGTATTATCACAGGTTATCTAATCCGCGATATTATGAAGCGGACGACGCATGCGCAGTAGCTACACGCCCTCTTACTCGTTTCACAAGAGGTATTGCCGCAGCTCTATCCGTTATATGTGATCCGAGTCTTTAACCGTGCCAAACCATCGATAATTACTGATACGGTCAGGCTATCCATATACCTTATGAGTGTTTCATGAAGGACGGGTACAGTTACTCCGCGGACTGATATGTCCGCGAGTTAGAGTTACTCCGAGTTTCATAAAATGAGGCGTTTTATCTATTATGAATGGTATGTTATGATATACAATGATTAATGATAAATCATCTCAGTTTACCGCGCCTCCGGGGACATCATCTCACTTACAAATTGTTATAGGATTGGCCTATCCATTTATTTATTATCTAATATCTACGGTCGAAATTACACCGTCATCTACTATATTATCTATGTTCCGTTTCGGTTTTATATTTTTATTTTGATAAGAACATTACGCCGAAGATCAATAAAGATATTTTTACTAATGATTTTGTATTGCGCCAACTAAACGTAATGCATCAGTAAAGCCCGTTCAGCGTTTTTGTCTTTGTTCATGGCTTATAGTACGGAATCGCGTTTTGTAACAAAGACCGTGGTAGTACAACTGCTATGGATAGACCCACTGATATAAATAATAACCTACATCCGCGGATGGACACATAGACCATGGATAATATGATAAGGTGGGCGATGCGCGCGTAACAACCACAATTAAAGATATTATACTGGTCGCCCAACGGTGAACCGCGAACGGGCTGTGCCATAAGCGATAATATTAATGCTCGCACGAACAGCCGCTTAACTAACATAGTGCGCGCTCTGTCCGTAAAAATAATGTAATATTTCAATGTTTCACACTCGCAACCATGTTTTGTGAATAATCGCTCTAAACGAATTAATACGGTACATACATTTTCCACCGCGATCTACGAGCGCTACAGAATTGTTTTATCATCGAGTAAATATTCTACTCACCGTGGCTAAATTATAATTCACAATTATATATATATATATATATATATATTTAGCCGCGGTAGTCACAATTTCATAGCCTGTTGGGCAACCAGTATACCGATCTTAAATCTTGGTAACGACCGATTTGCCAAGCATTCTTGAGGCTTCAACGAGACCACGAATCAAGATATAATTTATTTCAATTCGTGAATGAGACGATCGTGCACAATCCATCCTTTTTATCCATGCCCGGCGTCACATTTCAATTCGTGATTGGCAATTAGATCGAAAAGCCCTCGGCTAAGTGATCTAAATATTCAAATATATTTTGTTCAGCATATTTGAAATTTGACCTGGCCGACGACGTTTTGTCCCAACTTCCAACGGGTAGGGGGCAGTTGTTCGAATGATTCGAAAATGATAAGGATAAATAATAACGGACCGAAAGCATAATTTCAATACCTATATATAAAAAATTTTGAATATTTTGAATACTAAATACCTCATTTAATTGTGATATTGCTTGAACTGGAGTCTTTGGCTGCAGACGAAGCGAATGGAGGAAATTGATCGAAAATAAACACTGATTTGTTATGCAAAACCACGTCGGATAGTATTTAATTTCGTATGTTTTGGATACAGTTTGTCAATATAGTGCATTAATATGCGACCGGGTCGGTTACTCGGGTTGCCGAAGATTCTTATCATTTTCAAACATGTGCCATTCACTATGAAGTAAAGTTGATCTTGATAAATGATAGTATATCAGTAAAATGTTTTGAATTTTTTTAGTGACTCTTTATTAATAATATAATATTAATCGGCGTGTTCTGTGGATTCCGTTTTGTGTTCAATTTGGGACTACGGTAAGCGAAATGATTAATTTTTTATTTTTACAAATAGCCACGTAATTGAATGTGTTACACATAATTTTATTTTTAATCAACTCGATTATTTTTTTTTTCATTTAAGCCATGTGGACCATTCGAGTTCCCAAACGAAATGTGCCTCGTTTCTTCAATCGATCAATCACCACTGTATGTGTTTCACGACAAGAAAGCCGTGCAGTTTACCCACCTATTTTAGACTTAAAACCTGAGCCGACTGTGTTACGTCAAGAATTGAATCACCATGAAAAAATACGTAACATTGGTACTATCGAAGAAAAAACTATTGGTATCAATATGCCTAGGTTCGATTAATTTATTCTATTAACTATTAAACTTATAATTTTAAAAACTTTTTTGTTGTACATTTCTAGATATTATGGTTGGCAGTCTTTAGTAGTAAAAGACAAAATATTGCCGTACGACTTCTTGCCATTCGCTCAGACTATTACAAAGACTAAAATATATGAAGTAGAAAATCTACCAAATAAACTTTCAGATGATGATTATCAAAAATTTATTGACCATATAAAACCACAGCTAGAAGATAGCCTTGTATTTGAATTCAATAGAAATAGGTTAGAATAAATCATAAATAAGTTATCTAATTGATTCAAAAGTATATATATTTTTAATGAATTTTAGAAGCAGAGGTAAAGAAATAAATCCCATCCATAATACAGATGAATCTAACCCAACAAATGACTTAGCTAAAAGTGTTGCTGAGCAAGTAAATCGTATATTTTTAGCTAATCTTGCTGCAGATTATCCACATTTATATGAAGCTCAAGTATGAACACATTTTTATAAAATAACTAATTCAAATTGAACTGTTTTAATAATTAATTATCTATATTAGAATTATAATTATCTAATATTGAACTAGATTGATTATGAGCCTCGCGTTGAAGGATTTTGGAATGTGCATGGTTTTGCAGCAAATAAAGAAGATCAAGAACTGAGAAAAAAGAAAAATGTACCAGAAGAGAACTTAAAAGATCCTGTTGATAGATGGATACATTATTTTGGGGTTCCTACAGTTCAAGTACGCCATAGTTTACCCTTGTCTTCAGTTCCCTTAGATAAATTTATGTTAACTTCTACTCCACTGTCTCATTCCGATGATATACCAAATATTATACATAGACAATTTGATGTCCCAAATTATGATTTTGATCCTCAAATTTATCATAAATTGCCATATGAAAGAAGACATGGTGTTAGTATTCCTGGTGAGTTGGTAAAATTAAAAATATAAATTTTCCTCTCATATCAAATCTAAACTTTTTAGGTTTTTGGCCAAATGATCCTCAGAAGTTTGGTTTATTGTCCATTCACACAAATGAATACTTAGTAGATCGACCACCTAATTTTGGTGAATTGGAACACCAAGAAGCTGTTCATGCTCAAGCAATATTAGCATCATTTGCTTGGCTAATAGGTCAAGCATCTTATCAAGGTATAACACAGTTGATTTTAATAAATTATGTATATGCTTGTCAGAATGGTCATTATTTATAAACTTTAGAATTCTTAAATCTGTATCCTTCCAATTTGTTCATTAGTACAATAAGATTTGGTTGTGTTAAATTTGGTCATAATGAATAATCTTCTTCCAGTACAGAATGAGTATTTAAAAAGTCCAAATAGAGTAGTTTTATTATATTAAAAAGTAAAGCAATTAACATGAACATGTATTTTTACTACTTTCCACGGAAAAAAATATATTTTTGAAATATTTCTTTTATTTAGAAAAATGACTAACGATAATATAAATAGATTTTATGAATGGTAGATCACATAACATTTTTTCGTAAAACAATGTAAAATGTAATTTTCTGTTAAATAGATATCTAATGTTAATTGTGTTGAATCAACCATTTATCATTGAAATAAAATTTATTAGTTATTAAAAATACTAAAAATATCAGTTTAAACTGTATAACGAGTTTCTATACATTATTTAATTTTGTCATAGTTTCATGGTCATAATTGGAGTACTTTAGACCAACGGTTGTCAACCGGTGATTCCTAAAGCACTGGTGGTTCACGAAAAAATTTAGGTGGTCAGCAGAAAAATTTGAACATTATTTGCAATATTAGGTATTTCCTTCCAGCGAGCGTGTGTCGTCACGTTATTCAAAATTTAAAAAACAAAAAATTTAACGCCATCATAATTACAATAGGCCCTAAACCCACGGAAGTAATAAGAAATATCACAGTAAGTGATTCCTGGTTAATTTGATTTATTGATTACACTATCACAATTTTTCATAACAAATTGGTTAGCATTTAACTAAATAAAACCCAGAATGAGTTAATTTCGTTTTCAACCCAAAGGCACGGGGTGTGCCATGATACACCTGGCACATAGTGCCCACCCTATGAGGGAGGGGGCATGTGGCACACAATTATCAATGAAAATCAAGACTGTATATACATAGCTAATAAAAATATTAATTAATAAAATATTGTTTGTACATAAGTAGAAACCTACTTATTTTGTGTCTAATATCAAAATACAAATTTGATTTTATTAGTTTATATATAAATTTTAAATACAAATTTAGATTTCTAATAGGGCCTTAAAATCCGTTAAAAAATTAAATAAATAGTTATAAATATATTTATACACATTATGGGGCCCTGCATTCCGCAAAATTAGGGCACCAGGCCCCAAAATCTATCGGGCCGGCACTGCTAGCATGTGAGCACTTAAGTTAGTATAAGAGGATAGTGGAACGGTATTTATGTAAAAAGCTATTATCTCTGGAAAAGGACATGAGACTTATAATATAAATTGTAAATACTATAAAAATATAATTGGTCCGTAGAATTTAGAGTATTAATTTAATGGTATTCGAGGTCCAAAAGGTTAGCGACCATTGCTTTAGACGATAATATTGAATTTGTCTGAAAAAATATTATTACTGTGTTGACCTTAATTATTCTTTTTAGGTTTTACAATTTGTAATGAAATCACGTATCCTCTTGTTAATCAATCAATTATTACAAATGGTAAAACATGGTCATTTTATATGTATCAATTAAACACTATGAGATTCTTTAAAAGTAAAGATACCATAAACAACAATTCAGTTAGTCCAAGTAATATTTGTTGGGGAACAAAAACAATGGAATTATTCCACGATGTCACAGATACCCAAATTGTTGGTATGTATAGTAAAATTAATATATAATATTCACCGAAAATCATAAATATTAAATATAGGTTGGAATGATGAGACATTAAAAAACCTTTTAAGTTGTTATGTGAATACGCCTAAAATACGAGATCATGAAATGAGTCCATATCTCGGCAAAGAACAAGTGGTAGCCAACATAGATGATGCTAATAAAAGGTAAATCAAAATATGTTTAAAACATTTCTATTATTAGTTAAATTTAATTGTTGTATACAAGTGAATTGTTAAGAATTTAATGTATTTAAATATTATAATTTATTTTTTATAGGATATGGTTACATGAAAAACATAAAGTTATGGTATCACACAGACCTAGACATCGTCTTCTACCTGAAGTTTATGACTGGGAACGTATTTATAAGATTCAATTTGAAACAAGACAGTTTGAAGCAAGAAGACGGTTCTTTGAACTTGATCAGGATCCGTTAAATGAAAGAAAACTTAATGATCATTATGGAGCTTACATACAACGTAAGGATAGAGATTTTGGTAGGAGAATAAGAAGTAAACGATTTGCAGACACTTATTATCCCAATGTTTAGATACTATTTTCTATCACTATCGTATTAAAATAATTGTTTTTAGATGCTATTTTTTATCACTATTGTATTAAAAAAATTGTTATACAAATTATATTATATTTAAAAAAAAAATTGCATATTTAGTTGTTGGTTTCAAATGAATACCTTTCATTTGGTACTTTTCAGTTATTTTGACTACCACTGTTGTCATTTGTAATGAGAAATATATTGGTCATAAAATTACATACAGTATATTTAAAACTCCTAATTTCCAACAAGAATACTCACTTTTTACTGTCAAGATTTTATTATATACATTTTTGTTTTCCGAAATATATTTTAGCCTTATAACCAGACCCACATACTGTTTTTTTTAGTAAAACCAATAATTTTCTAGAAAAAGATTACAACATCTTTTTCATTGAATATTAAAACCCGAATTTGCTGAGTAGCTAATTTATTAAAACAATTCTAAATATCTTTAATTAAATAAATTTGAAAATAATGCATTTTCATTAAAATTCTATGGATTTTGTCATAATATAAATAATCACTGATCAGTACCTTTCATTTTTATATCCACTTTATTTATGAAGTCTGCAGTGCTGGTCAAATTATTTTGTACAGCAGGTACAGCAATATATAGCAGATCGGGGTTGATTTTTTTGAACAATTATTTCTCCTTTTTTTTTATATAAATATATTATATAATGTGTTATTATAATTATTAAAAGGAAATGGAAAGGGATATATTTCCCTCACAAATTTAAAACAGATATGACTGTCTAAATCAGTGGTTCCCAACCTTTTTATTCTACACCCCCTTGTAAATTTTCAAGTCACAATAACTCAAGTCAACATTTTATATGTTATAAGGGAATATTGAATTTTATTTTAAATTAAAATAGATAAAAATAAAACAATATACTTTTGTTAATATTTCATGTCAAATTATAATGAATACAAATTATTAATTAAATTTTAGATCTATAAACTTTATTATTTAAGAGAACACTATACCACATCTGTCTCTGTCTTACAAAAGTACGACATAGCAAATTTACATAGAAATTTTGTGGCATTAGTTTTAATATTTAGAAAGAATGAACTATTCTGAAATTTAAAAATAACAGTAACTGTGTATCATTGGTACAATTTTTTTGTAATGATATTTTAATTTTTAATGAGGATATGAGTATGTTAAACATTACAATTTTATACTGGTTTTATCTCATTTTAAAATTAAAATATCAAAAAAATAGCACCAATGTTGCACAAATAAATTTAAACAATTTTATATTTCATAATAGATCAAGGATTAAAACAGAGACAGTACATATGAGCAAGCATCCTACTAATAATGCATTTAATATTACAATACAGACTAATAAAGAAAACCCACTCATATATTCTCTTCAATTTGTCCATCAAAATTATCATCTTCATCGTCACTAACTTCATTTAAAATATCAACCATAAACTCTAATGTTTGCTTATCCTAAAATCAAAACATTTTTATTGATAAAATATGTTTATAACATAGCAATAAATGTAAAATAATACTAACATTAGAATCAATATTTTGTTTTGTGACCAAAACACGTTTGGGATTGATTAATTTAATTTTCTTTTGTTCTTGAATATCTAAACATTCATATCTTGACATTTGAAGTTTATAGTACCCATCATCATCTTCAATATATCTACTTACAAAAATAAACAGATTAAAAAATCTCAATAATAGTATTAAGAAAACTGAGATAAGAACCTGAAACGTTTTAAGCTAGCTGGTTTATGGATGTTGTGTTTAGTTCTTAAATGTTTGGTAAGAAATGCACCTCTAAGGAATAGATCACCACAAAGATGACAATAATATTTATACAATTCATCTGGATTATGATGATGAACCATTCCTATGTGTTTCTCTATATTATATTTGCTACGACAAGAAAATTCACAGCCGTCCTTTGCACATTTAAACAATGGACCTGGTGCATGTTTTTTTAAGTGATTGGTAAGCTCTAATTTACGTACAAATCTGAAAATGATTAATGTTTAATAAAATATAAAATTATAGTAGTGTTATACTTACTTAGAATCACATAATTCACATTGAAACGGTTTTATATCTAAGTGACGATAACGTATATGAGTTACTAAGTGAGAAGCTCTGGAAAAGGATGCATCACATTGATTGCATTTAAAATAATTTATATGAAGGCGAACATGTTGCTTCAGTAGTCGTTCACATGAAAATGTTTTTTTACACAGCGAACACTGATTACTGTTTTTTTCTGAAAATATATATCTAGAATCTTTTCTTTAAAAAAAAATTAGTCTAAGTTTACCTTTATTTGATTGTCTACAATGATCTTTCAGTTTGGTGTAAGTTGCAAACATAGTACCACAGTTGGGACAAGCACATGTTTTTTCTTGTGTGTGACTTCTTAAATGCTCTACTAATCGATAACGTTTGGTAAACTGATCAGTACAATCTACCCAAAAACAAAAAAATGTATACATAATATTTATTGTTTTTGCTACTTCGTGAAATTTATATTTTTAGAAAAGTTATCCATTTTACAAAATGGAAGACTTTCACAATTTGTAAAAAAAATAAAGTATTTCACAAAATACCGTTTTTTTCATGAAATAGTATCCAGAATTTGGCATTGTAATTTTTTAACACATATATAATACATAATTATTATTTGGTATATGATAATCAAAAAGTATCAGAACTGTTTCAAAAAAGCGTCAAAGAGCAGTAGTATTGGTATTAATGGCTTATGTCGCTTTTCCTTAGACCAATTGTTTTTATAGATTCCCTATAAGCCTATAAAAATCAGCTATATCACAACAAAAAATATTATAGAGAATCTATAAAAACAGATATATGAAATTGAATAAATTGTATAAGTATCTATTTTAGTAATTTAAAATAATTGACCTATAACAAAAAATATAACATCAAAAAGAAAAATATGCACTAATGCACACAATTACTGTTAAATAATTTGATAATAATTAATCACAATTTATCATCCACTGGTGTTAAAGTGGGGCCTATAAAAATCCAGTCCCCTAATCTTTGTGCTTAAAAAAGGTCTTGTTTAACACAATCTTCAAAGGTACGCTGAAGGCTTGAAGTAAAACCAAAATACTTGGTGAATACTTTTACTTTGTACTTTAATTTACAAACCTGTCCATGGGCAAATAAAGTTATTATTTTTGAATTTTGAATAATTGTTTAAATGTTGAGCCACATGATATACATAATACTGCATGCATTCAAAAGTCAAGTTGCAATTTTCCCAATCACATTTGAATTCATCAGGTAAGTCTGGTAAGATATCAAATCCGTCTCCATTTAACTTACATTCCTAAACAATATGATTATAGTAATTATATTAATATATTATTTGTATAGTAACTAGTGATATGGTATAAATTCGGATTTCAGATCTTAAATTCCAAAAATTATAATTCTAGGTTTCTAATTTCAATTTTTTTTTTTTTAAAAAAATCCATTATATATTTTTTTGATTACCTATAATTAATTTATAGTTAAGATTAGTTTTGAATCAAATAAAAAATGTCTAAATGAATACAAAATCAAAGTTTCAAAGTCTAAAACTCAGATTTTATATTTTTTTTTGTTTTAATTTCAGATTTCAATCTGAAAATACTGATAATTGAACTTAAGCGAATCCGAATTTTTCCCACCACTAATAGCAACACATTTATATAATTACGCACAGGTATTTCCCAGTGAAATAAAACAGCCAAACCAATGCATTTGAGTCGTGTGTGATATGCATGAAAATTCACATGTGTTGTAGATTTTACCTCACAGTTTGATTGAAACGTACAATTATTCCACAAACATGAAAACCACCCTAAGGAATTAACAAATATATATTTTGAAATTGTTTTTCAACAAAATTGAGTGTAACATACTATCTTTATTGCTTTGCCATTCTTCAGTCCATAGATTGTTAACATGGTGGCTAACATGTTTCAAATAGACTTTTATAGATGACGATTCAAAATCACACTCTGTCCATCCACATTTGAATTTCATATTTATTTGATCTAAATCTAATATCTTTTTTCTAGAACATTGTTTCTTTCGCTCTTTTAAATTATTTAAATCTAAACTGGATTCATAAGATGCTGTCTCGTTAGAACTAGTATTTGTAACAACACCTATTGAAATCAATAAATATAAAATTTATCTTATGTGAAGTGACAACCTTTGTTAATTTTCTTAAGTATAAAATAAATAATGTTAACACTAGTTTCTATGAATAAAATCAATTTTCCAGTATTACCTATTACCTGATTTTATTCCAAAGTGATGGTTTTCAGTGATATGGCAAAAGTGTCATGATTAAAATTAATAATAAATGTAATATGTTTATTGTATACTTAAGAAAAGTTTAAATGCCAAATATGATTATATAAATGGTTATAATTGAGCAAAAACATTTATAAACCTAATATTAGGTTTATAAAATTATATTCATGGTTGGAACGCATAATAGAGTAACATATAAAACTATTTGGTTTTAAAATATACAAGTTTTTCTACTTTTTTATTATGACTGCACATAATAGAAGCTATCAGGTATAATTTGTTACATTAATTGTTAAAAGTTTATCTACAGAATGTCCTACTACAGTATCAACAAAATGCTAATAACTCTGTCAATGTTCATTTTTTTTTTCAATTAGGTTTTGAGTCAAGGGACACAAATGTAGAGAAAAATTAAATTTTTTATTATCATCCCTAAATTACTAAAAAAATATAAATTTTTTTTTCACTTTTTATAATTTCAAAATAGCCAATTTGTAAAATATAGTTTGGGCTGGATACAAAATAATTATTTTTAATTATTTTGCATAGCTTAACTGATTCATATAAGTTTGAAAAGAAAATTTAAGGAAATCCATGGGGAAAACGTTTTTATTTGGCACAGACAGTGCTAGGCGAAACAGCTAGTAATTATTTATATTTAAACATTGATTTGTAGCTGATAATTTACAATGATATTTTATTTTTATTTTTTTTAGTTGAACTGAAATTTAAGTAAACACTAAACACTTTAATATTAATAAAGAATTAAAAAAGCTGTCTTAGGATAGTGGGGATGAGTGCAGCCACTGTTGTAGGTAAAAATTTTAGGCGAGAATTTAATGTGTATCTATAAACAACAATTAATTATTGCTAATGAAAAAACGATTCTGAGCAGAGTTCGGCTGATAATATTTCTTTGCCAACAATATATATGTCATATTTTGATAAAATAATTACATAATATGCATTAAACATTTACTTTAATAGTATTTGTTTAATATTGTACCTATTTTCCCATTGGGAAAATCAAAAAATTGCCTCCTTAAAATATCACCCCGGCCAGATTTCCTTTCAGAAAAGAGTTGTCATTGTAAATCAGATCAAAAATGCCGGTAGAAAAGTTGTCCATAGGAAAAAAAATAAACATCATTGTCAAATCAATGCAAAACTTTGCTCCACTCAGAATCTAAAACAATAGCAATACAATAGTTAGGTACATTTTATAAAAAAAAAAACTGATATTGTTGATGTACATCACTGTTGTTAGTGGGAAATTAGGAAGATAGGATACATTAAGTTATTTAATTTATATCTGTTTTTTTTTTTTTACAAAGACAAACTATTGCTAACTAAAAATTATTCTGAGCAAAGTTAAATTATTCACAATTTGAAATACCATAATATTTATAAACTACATCAATATTTGATTGTAAAACAAATTATGGAAAAAAATATTATATTACAATCAACTTTTTTTTTACTACTACTAGGTACTACTTACTAGGTAAATTTATTAATGAAACTTTTCAAGCACATCTGTTTAGTCAATTAAATTAATCCAAATAGAACCTATAAAGGAAAACTACATAAAAAACAAGTATAGAACATTTTTTTATATACACAATATGCCACATCACTGTTGATAATTTTAATTTGTAACATATATAATTATGTTGTAGGTACCTATAGTATAGAAAAAATTACACAAAAAAAAGAGAAATTTACATTTAACACTTATTTATACTTACATTTTTTTTTGGCAACATATTTCTTTTCCTCAGGAACATTGCCTTCACGGTGAGCAATTACCCATTGTTCACACCAGTACTGTTTGTCTTCCATCATGGACACAGAACCACAATCAGTTTTTTGATCGACCGATAAATATGTTTGTGCTGCAACGTACAGTAAATAGTTTCATTAATAAAAATTATAAACCAATCCAAATCAATCACAATGTTTGAGAAAAACCAACTCCCACATACATGATATTGGATTATGCATTTTGGTTTTTATTATTCAGTTGAGTACCTAATAGAGTATAGACCTAGAGATGGTATAGATTCATTATAAAGTAAAATGTAGCATTAAGACTAATGTGATATTTAAAAGTAAACTTTTTTTTTTAATATAAAGATTATGAACACATTATAATATGATTTTTAATTGATTTTGTTAGTCTTAAATTCTAATTCAACAATATAATTTTTAATTATATATTCGTTACGTACCATCATTCGATTCTTCATTTCTTCGTGATGTTCTCCTAGGGAAATAAGTATCACTATAGCGTTCGGCATTCATTATACGTGGTTTTTAATTACACCAAAATATTATCTGAAGACAAATTAAAAATCAAATCAACTAAACAAATAAAATAGATTTGTCCAAGAATACAGAAGTTTACGAATACGGAATAAGTAATAACGAATATTCTAATAGAAATATTTGATAAGAAAGCCCAGTGGTACACGATCACGAGCGTCTAGAGACAGCAGCTGCCTCCTCGGAGTAGTTCCCCTTATCACAATATCTACCATTATCACATAGTAGTTACAAAATAAGTTACACCTCACACAATACAACTATTAAAATTACAATAAACATTAAACAATTACTTATTACGTTATTACAACTTACAAATACTTATCACAGTTAAAATTTAAATAAAAATTCAACATTAACATTGTTATTGTTTCACCACACTCAGTATAAATTGGTAATACGTTGTTAAGATTAATAAATATGGTAAGTAATTAAAAAAACTAAAAAAATATTAATTACATTACAAGTCTAAAATTAAAATGTGTGGTGTTATCAACTAAGTACTAACTAGGTCTTTTTTACATAAGAGTGGTCGAAATCAATATGAATTTAGGGAGTATTTTCATTCCTTTTATATCATCGATTATTTGATTTTTAATTGTCAATGTAGATTTATTTAATCTTTGTTCTTCTGGTGCTTTTACTCTTTGTTTTTTGGTGGAATATTTTAATGGATGTTGCAGTACGTGCATTCAAAATAAACAATTTAAAAAAAATATCAAAAAACAATTTACTAAAATATTTAAGAAACAATATTCAGAGCATTTTGTTGCATATGCTCATACAGAAAATGTTACATTAATAAGTAAGAAAGTTTCCATAGGAAATAGAAAGTTTATACTAATAATAATAATTATTTGAAAAGGGTTTTACCTGTATTGAATATAACAGTATATAACAATTTTAGGTAATAATAGGAAAAATATACAAAAATTAAATAAATATGCTTCTTTTATATAAATTATTAAATTATAGGTAATATAATATATAAAAATTGAAATTTGTTTGTGAATGGCTTAGAATAAAATTATAACTTACTAATTATATTTATCTAATGGGAATAATATTATAACTACAATGTATTCTTAAAGCTTTTGAATACAAGAACATTTTCAATAAAATTAAATTATAAATTAACACGTGCTGTACCAGTAACAGTTTTACAATTTTTGTATCCGTTTTCTCACATTCCTTATCACAATTCCCCCGTATTGTGCCCGCGTATGTCCACGGGAATCCGATTACGGTCCCAGTAACCATTTGCCGTCGAGCCGTTGAACGCGGTATTTTATTAATAAAAAAAAATCGACGGCATAATATTGTTATTCGGCTTTTAAGCTCCGTCGTTGCTGTAGCCACCATCGCGCATTATCTACGCATCGCCGCCGCAATATGAACCGGTTTTATCTGTGACCTACTCCGGTAACGACATAATATTCTAACGCTGATAACGAGGATTGCGACAATACTTATAGCTAATTAAATGTATTCAGTATAAATCGTTCATTGCTGTGAAATCCTTTTGCTTATTCATTTTCTCGCGACCCTACCGTTCATCCTCCTACCCGATCACCAGGTTTACAGTAGCGTACGGAAACCATTGCGTATCGATAGCGCGACAACTGCCCGTTAAAGTCCCGCGCCGTAACAATTTTCGTCTTAGGTTATATTATTGAATACTTACATAATTGAATTATTATGAAAGTACAATATATTTTACATTTACAATAATAATTAAATTTGATTTAAATTTGAGTTAGCGTTCATTGATAACGTATTGTGATTATTATTTAAATGTTAACTACTATTTGATAATGGTACTGTGATAAGGGGAATTGCTCCGAGAGGGCACTGTCTCTAGACAATCGTCAATAGTTTCCAAACTGCGTAAACATTCCTATATAGGCATTGAATAGGCAATAAATAAGCGCATATATACAAAGTGAAGTCAACTGAAAGGCGCTAAAAAGGAAATAGGTACACAAAAATAATACCACGAATAATATTAAAATATACGGTATAATAAAACGGTCAAAAATGTTGACGGCCGATGAAAAATAGAAGGAAATCCCGCCGATAAAAATGTATTTAAGATTCTGAGTGGAGTGAAAAAATGTATGGTTTTACAAAGATTTTAATTTTTTTTTTTTTATTTATATTTTTACGCAACTTTTTCTACCAGTGATTTTGCTCCGTTTTACAATGATAGTACTTTTTCTGAAAGGAAATCTGACAGGGGAGGTCCATAAGGGAGGTTATTTTTTGATTTTCCCCTAAAAAATGTAAAAACATGGGAAAATCAGTACAGTATTTAACAAATATTATTAAAGAAAATATAAAATGCCTATTTAATTATTTTACCATAATATGTCATATTTATTGTTGACAAAACATCACTATCAACTGAACTCCGCTCAGAATCGTTTTTTCGTTGGCAATGGTTTATTGTTACTTACAGGTACATACATTAAATTACCTATAATAGTGGCTGCACATGTCTTCATTATCCTAGGACAGCTTTTCCAACAATTTTTTTTTTTTGCATACTTTTCGCAAAATTTCAAACTTAATTATTTAATCAATTAAATACAATTTTAAAAATCTACTTCGGCCGATATCTTGTACATGTAGTGAAGAATTAGAATATTTTTTCAAAATTCGATTCGAGGTAATCGTTTCAGCATATTGTTGGGATTAGAATCGTCCATTTGAGTGAAAAATAAATATTTTTCATAATAATAAAATAATTGTCATCTGACATGTCTATGCGAGTACATGCAAGAGCCCTCATACCTCCACGCGCAACGTACGCCTATAATTATTGTTGCCGCGTCCCTAAAAGAAAAATCAGATAACGATCTTATATATAATGTAGTACAAAAATATTATATTATATTATTTTATAGCACAAAAATAATACATAATTATGTAATCGGGAATTGATTTAGTCATTATTATTCGACACTCATACAGTAAAAGATTTTGTTATTTTGTTTTATTATATTGTGCATTGAAAAATGAGTTCCAAATATAAAGCGAAAACCGTAGTTCCCTTATCCAAAACGAAAAAAAAAACAAAGGTTTTATAAATAATATAAGGAGTCTTCATATCATAAAATTTGACACGAAAAATACAATTTTTAATTTGAGTAAAATTTCTGTTTTTTTTTATGTTTGAATTACAGCATAACAAGAGGGCACCTCGCCTTTGTATAGACAGTTCTTCCTCTAATGTTATACTATCATTTATGTAATATAAAGTTCCTTTATATAAATTATAATAAGTAGTAAGCATTTGGAGATTATTAAGAAAACAATAACAATTATGAATGATAAACAAAGTTGGCTTTTGGCACACTAATTCAATGTTTTACACTAAATTGAAAATATTACACTTAAATAATACATTTCAAATACATAGAAATAAATAATCAAATTTGAAACCATTTAACACCATAATATAAATGTGGCAAAAAGAAAAATTTAAGGACACCAAATTTGGTTATACACATTTATTTTATAATTAATAAAAACTTTTCTACTACAAAACATTACTCTATTTAAAAATAATCACTGATAAGTTACTATACATATAGATTTAATTTGATTATTATGATTATATAATAATTAAGCTATATTTCAAGATATATATTGTATACACTTAACTGGTGTGATACAAGCAAGATGTTCATAACTTAGGTAAAGTAAATAAATAATATATTGACCACATATGATACTTTTGGCTAAACATGCTGGGTGTTATATATTTTGTTTAAATATACCTATTATATAATACATTAAAAGTTAAAGAGTATTCTGTTTAAATTTGTTTAACACAGATTTAATAAGTAAATACCTTAAAACAAAAATGATGTACCTAATATTTCAAACAAATTTACTTAGATACTTACAAAAATATAAGTGCCTATGGTTATAATGAAAGAACAATTAAAAATACCACCTTATCATTCCATATAATTACAGTAATATTAATATTTGAATCGGCAGTTTTTTTAATGTTTATCATTTACAAAAACATAATATCCTAAAATTCCATTCAAATATATTGCTATACATAAATAGAAAACACATTTTATTTTAAATATGTATAAAGGATATGTTATAAAATAAATTAATATTAAATTAGACATGTATTGGTCAATTTAAGACAATGTAAGTATTTTAAGCAATTTAAGACCAGTAAATAGGTAACTCAGTTATTAAATTTAAATCCTATAAAGCAGTGGTTTTTAACCTTATTGGATCCACGGCTCTTTTGATTTTAAAACCCAAATTAGCGGCTCCCTTATGAATAACGATAATAGTATAAAAATTAATGAAAATAAATTTATTGTTTTACTCTACTATATTTACTATAGATGTAGTTTCTTTGATACTAAACCACAACGTCCCTGGAAACCGCGCACACAGGTTAAAAAACACTGCAGTATAAAATAAATATGAAGGTTGATTTGAATTATTTTATTTAGATTAAATACCTAATAGCAATCAAATTATATAAGATATCCAACTTGAATATTATTGAAACTAAATATCTATGAAGGATTTAAGGGTATACAATATGTTGCATGTGAAGTTTTTTGATAGCTAAATTGTATATTGTATTAGAAATCATTACATAGTTGTATAATTAATATTTCAATTTAAATTAAATTCATAACTAACAGAAAAAAAAAAGTTAAAATATTTACCTTAGTAGATATGTGTGTACAGATGTTGATACAACAGGTTTTTTAAGCAACATAAATATAAGTATTTATTTTCTCTGGTGTACGTGATAAATATTCTTTTTGAATTAAGTACTCAATACGATTTAAAATAAGCATAGGCGATGGCATAAATCTGCACTTTAATTTTCCAATTACTTCCATAATGAGTGTATTGTGTGTTAACTTTTTACGAGCTTTCATAATGTGTATAAGTGCTGCTATAGTGTCTATTTGATTATTTTTATTTTCTTCTACTTTGTCTTTAGTTTTTTGATACTCCAATCTATTTTCTTCCTCTGTAGTAGTTGAATAAATCATTACACAACTCAATTTTGAAGTATACAATTTATTTATTGAGAACTCGTGATGAGGTTCAATCTCTATAGACTTTGGAATCCTTATTATTACTCTTTGTGAAAGATTTCCCATTACTAATGGTTGTAACGCTCTGATCAAATCTTTTTCATTGATGTCCGTCTTATTCATTATTGTTTTCATGATTATCTTTTCATAACTGTTAAACAACATCAATATTACCATTTGATAAGTTAATACTTGGAAGACATATTTGTGTACATATGATGAATTATTACGATAATTCACAGTGGTTTCAGAATTTAAATTTGTTGACAAAACTGTACAGTTACTTCCATTTGAGATTATGATAGTTATTGAACTATTATTTCTAATAGTATCATAAAAAATTGCAGTTATGTCAGCTACACCTAGTTGTGGTTGAAATGGAAGTTGACGTCCACAATGTTTGCTTGAATAAAAACTTCAAAATTCTTCAAATGCCAACCGTGCTATATGAGGTATATTATATTTTGGATTAGTTACTGATAATGGCCGGAATCTACTGGTTAGCACACCAACCGATAAATCAAGGTTTTGCAATTCATTGATGGTAACATAGATAGGTTTTCAACGAATAAATCCATTATAGTGTTTGATAGAGAAATGTCTTTCAACATACCTTCTAGTTCAGTAATAAAGTGATAACTACATTCAGTTTTAATTTTTTAATTATAATTTTCTCGTCATCACTAATAGACTTGTTTAACAACAACCACTTGGCTAAATGTTGTTTGTAGCATATTTGAAAATCTTCTTTGTCCTGGAAAAGTTGAAACAATATCATGACTTTGTCAAGAATATCTTTATCATGCTTACTACAAACCCCGTTTTTTTAATTTTTCATCAATAAATATTGACATATATTCAGGAAACCTTTGATTCAGATTTAAAAAATATTATTGTGTTTCTAAATATTTTATTATTTCTAAATGAATTATATAGTTTATAATCAAATTTGTCTTTGAAATCTAATATACTTTGTATGTAAGAGATGGGATTTAAATTGGTATCATTTTCTTTCACTGAGGATAAGCCTTCTTGTAAATACATACCCAAATAGTCAGACAAAATATGTAGACCTATTGATAAAGTACTTCACATCTTATACATATAAACAAGATCTTGAGTTCTTTGGTTTTTCAACATAAATATAAATCCAAAGTTTTTCATTTCAAGAATGGTATTCATTGGTTTTTTAATAAGTTCTTCTTCTACTACTTGGACAATACGACTTTCTGTAGAAACATCCATACAGGTTTTGGCTCGCTTGACTTCCTCATTTATTCGATATAAAGCCGTTTAAATATAAATTAAAGCGCTGTTTTCGGCTAAAAGCTTCTGATTTTCAAAATAGTAAAACTCACGGGATTGAACGAAAAATGGGTGTTCGAAATCTTCTTCATAAACATGTGTATCTGTTATTCCCAGTTTAATAAGCATTTTATAGGCACTTAATAGTGCGAGACCGTCAATGACTTCGCCATGTCTTGCTTGCATTATTATGCTTGACAGTGTTCCACGTAAATAATCTTTTATCGGGCTGTGTCGCACTATTGTGTCACGAAACAATACGAATCCGAGGGTAAAGACACTGTCAAGTTTGTTGTCTCTTACGTCTATTTTGTCCATGTATTTCATCTTATTTGCTGGATTTACGATTTAGGTTTGATAGTCTCTCCAGCATTTATCCAGAGCTTTAAAAAAATGTTCATTCAACGAATTCAATAAGTACATTCGATATTGTTTGTTATTTTTATTAATTAATTAATTTTATTAATACATTTATTAATTATTGTTTGATATTGTTGTACAGTCGATTGCCATACTTCAATACTACTATTGTGTGAATGTTTCGCTTCATTCTGTTGGAATTAACGCACTTGATGTTATTTTTAATTATATTCTGTATGGTGTTCGAATTATCGTCAACGGGCATCGAATCCGAATAATTCAACTTGGGCATTGAAAGGTTAAGATATATCCACACTAAAAAAATGTAAATTTATTAAATAACAGATTAATTGAAAGAAATTTGATCTCGTTGTTTTTATTGGCTATAGTCACTTCGTTATTATTACTCTGAGGGTGTTGCTCACAAACATATGATTTTAATGTAAGAATATTATCGATTGTAATGAATCCTATTAAACAACTGGAAATTCCGACACTAGTACTTTCATTTAATAGTGGCATAATATTGGCAGAACAAATTAACATCGGGCGCGCTATTAGTACTTTGGGTGGGCGGAACCGCAGCTCACGGAGTCGGGACTGTGTTACAGGTGCGTCCCCTAGGATGGGGGGGGGTGAGGGACGATCGCCCCCTCCCTATAAGCTACGTGATGTTCTTTTTTGTTATACAAAATATCAATAATTCTTAAGTACAAATAAGTACAAATTCAACTGGTTCCAAATGCCATAAAGATGATTCCAGATCTTGAAAATACTTTGATTGAAACAAGAATAAAACATTTCTCGTTTATAAATTTCAATAAATATTCTCTCTAGGATGAGATAGAATTATGGAAAACTAAGTGGGAACAATCAATTTGCAAAAATATAATAAAATAATATATTTTTAGAATCGAAATTGAAAATGATTAATTTAAATTACATTTTAGATTATGAGTGTAGCGAAGAATGTATCAATTGGATTTACAATGATGTTTTTTTTTATATATATACTGTGACAAAAATTTCTACCAGAAATCTTGCTTCAATATTTAAGTATAGCACCTTTTTTTGAAAGAAAATATTTTCATATTTCACCTAGGTGGTACTTTAGGAAGGTCTTTTTTTTGTTTTTCCAAGCAATTTTTATAATATCAGGAAAACTCATAATAAAACGTAAGAAAAACGGGAAAATTTACAAAAATATTGCTTTTATTATTTTAAATTTTGTTTTTTGTTGTAATTCAATTAAAAATATTTGTAAAAATTAGAAATTAGGACAGAAAACTTATATTTACCTTTTCTTGACGTAATAAAATTGTTAAGCAATTTATGACATTTTAATTTTCTGAGTCTTGTACGTAATTTTTATCCGGTAGGTACTTTGTGGATAAAATGTTTAAACCAAACAGAAATGCTTGAAAATTTAACAAGAGGTTCATTTTAAGTCATACTTAATGATAAAAATAAAATGTTTTAAAATGTTTCATTGTTTTAATTATTATTTATTTAATGTGAAAAATATTAATTTAACTTTGTTTTACTGGATTTGTACAATATATCTGCAGTCTTCTAAGCTAATATAAGTTGAAATGATATAAGATTTAATGATTTTAAGTTTTTGATAACAAAATTCAATTTCCTTCAATATCCCACCTGCACGACTTCTCATCTATAACAATAGTCCATTGTGCAAAGTATGTCTGTCTTTTTTTCTTAACAATCATTAATATTAAATTTAATTATTTCGCCCCCCTCCCATAGACAAGGTCTGGAGATGCCCCTGTTGTGTTATCGGGGTATATGTATTAACTGGGCTATTTTCTATTTTACATTTTCAACTGTAAGCATGATTTTATATAAAATCGTAATAATTAATGCTTAAACATGTCTTTGTCACTATTAAAAAGACGTCCTAGGATAATGGGGAAGGGTGCTGCCACTGTTATAGGTAATTTAATGTATACTTGTAAGTAATGATAAACCATTGCTTAAATAGGCTTATAGAATATATACAACGCACGTATTCCACACTCTATTGTGCCTAGATAAGCAAAACGACTTATGAGAGGTACTGTGAAAAATCAGTAAAAATGTACCGTTACAGTACAGATATGTAACTGACAAATGATTATTTTAAGTATTAATCGATCCTCCAGAGAGCTTTATATAATATGTATATATATATATATGTTAGCAGTAATATATGTAACACGTTATTTTATTAAGTAACTAGTTATTCCATACAATTCCTAAATATGATTGTTAATATATGAATTACACTGTATTACTAGTTAATATATAGAATACCAATAGGATTTTCGCTAATTTAAATAATTTAAATCCACCGTCTATTTTATATAACCAAGACTGGAGTATTTACGTGAATTTGAGGAAAAAAAAGATAAAGAAAAAGTGGAAAAAAAGGTATTATAAAAAATACTATAATTTTATTACGAATTAAATAGTTAATGTCAATTAGATTTGTACTGATTATCAAAGTCAAGCTGATGGTGAAAATACATTTGCGTTGATGCATCAAGATCACTTGATAAAATTTTGTATTTTAAAACCATTAAAATCGAAAAGTGCTAAAAAAGTTGCGAAATGCCTTTTAGATATTTGTACTCTGTTTGGTACTCCAAGCGTACTACAATTAATTAACAACGGTCGTGAATTCCAAAATTAAACAATAGATTCATTAAATATTGTCTGAATTAACTATAGTCTGTC